GTCAACTTTTCCAGGAGGAAGCCTGAAATACGACTTGTTGCTGGGGGAATTATCACCCGAATCTCTGCTTATTGGCTGGAGGTGTTGCCGGGCAACGGCAGCTTATCGGATTAATATCTGGTAAAAAGGGAAGTAAATTATTTATCTTGTTTTTGTTAAATATTTCATAAGCTGAGGAAAACACGAGTGACCCTTCAGAGATTTGTGTTAAAAACAGACGAATCAAAGGGATTTTTATGGAAGCACGGAAAGGCCAAAATTAATGAATTAAATTATAATTTTTTTATCTATATTGTGAAAAAAAGGAAGAAATCACATAAACTCAGATGCAGATTCAGTGTTGATTAAATGTCTGCAATTTTGGTTTGAGTTTATCTGCTGTGGATTTAAATTTTGAGCAAAAATCAGCTGAAAAAAACGAGTAAAAATCATTTAAAAAGCAGATTTAAGAGTAAAGTTGGTAAATTTTCTTACAGATTTTCCAGATTTAAACTCACATTTTTTTAAGAAAAAGTGAAATATGTAAAGAAAGTTAACAGAAAATGACTGTAATTGTACATTTTGCAGAAGTTCTGAACAAGAATCTCATCACAATTAAATGGCCAGTTGGCCTTTCTTTGCTTCCTTAGATTGATTTTTTTTGCCCTTTTAGTTCGACTTTATCTGCTGTAAAATATAACAAAAATCAGCTGAAAAGGTGAGTAAATATCACTTAAAAAGCAGATTTAAGAGTAAAGTTGGCTCATTTTCTTAGTTTTTCCAGATTTTAACGTTTGTTGAATACAAAGTGAAGCAAATTCACAGAAAAAGAAACAAAAAGCTCAGAATTACTGACTGAAACTCGTCTGTCTGTGATTTAGTGTTCAGTAAAGCTACAGATCTGAAGAACATTTTCCTTTTCCCACCGTCACAGTGGGAAGAAACACAAGTGTTCCAGTGCCCCAGTAAACCATGACAACAACACCAGGACCCTGAAGGCATCATTCATTTGATCATTAACACTTGTGATTCTCCTGCTATGACGCGTTTAAAATATCTCCACCACGTTTTCTGCATTTGGGTCCACTTCTGGCAGGAATACTGAGGACGACTGCCCCATATATCATGGACACATGCAGGTCTGTGAGGGATTTAGTGTGCAGTTAAAGACGTTTGTAGAGGTGACGAGCAGCTTGGAGTGATAATAATAATAATGTTTTTTTACTTTAAAGCTTGAATGAAAGTGAGTGAGGGGTTTGTGTTGCAGATGTGAGGCTCTGGTTGAGGCTATTTCTGGTTTTTAAGTCTCTGCTGGATTGGAAACAACACTTTTAAATCCCACTTTCCGTGGTTTCACCAGCGTTTCCTTCGCCGCCGCGGCTCCCAACACTACGCATGTTACAGTACTGCAGGGCCGAGACACGGCGACAACATTCAGAGGCAACGCAGACGGGCAAACTTTGGTGGCAACTATGAAAACGCTGATAAAATGTTATGAAACAATACTGACTGAATATGAGAGTTAACGGACGTCGCCCGTCGGCGCCGCCTCAGAGAGTCGCCCCCGCCGTGTCTCCAGCCTTCAAGATTTTGGTACTTTTGGTTTGTTTAAAACATCCTCATTGGTTCAGCAGCAATAAAAAGTCAATGCCCTCAAACACTCCCGATTGGATGGATCCCTCCGCCGCCGGTTACATTCAACCGCCGTCGTCTGAGCCGACATGTATCCGCCCGTCTGCTCGTCAAAACATTCGCACGTTGCCGTAGAAACCGTTTACATCCACGCGTTTTCTCTCCCGGAAACATTCATCGTGTCGCCGCAGCTCCCGCCCGGGGGGCTCGCTTCGGCTGATTGTTGCCGGCGTCCGTCTTAAAACGCCGAACCTCAAACTGTTCCTCTTACTCCTTTCGTCCATTTCGAGCTCGATCCTCGTCGGGTATCCGGGTCGTAGAGGATCTTATGTCCGTCTCAACGTGTCCGTTTGTCCGCCAGCCAAAACCAGGACGTGTTGTTACATTCATACCGTCTGTCTGACTGTTGGAGAAACTGGATTCAGACTCGACTTTGGTCAAAAACAAAAACAAAAAAAAAAGGTCTTTTTAAAAAAACAATCGCCATCGTTTCTGTCTCCGTTTGATAAAATCACTCCGTCTCTTTCTTCTTGTCGTCCAGGTCGAAGTCCAACACGAGCAGTTTGGTCTCCTCCGTCCCGTTCCTGCTGCCGGCGGCGCACACCAGCCGAGTGTCGGACGCTCGGATTCGCCACACGACGCCGCCTGTGGAGGAAAGAAGACGTGTGATTGGTTTAGACTCAGAGATCTTTAACAGTGTGTGTGTGTGTGTGTGTGTGTGTGTGTGTGTGTGTGTGTGTGTGTGTGTGTGTGTGTGTGTGTGTGTGTGTGCGTGCGTGTTCGTGGTCCCGACCTGATCCCCGGCTCTGCAGCGCCACCACGTCTCGCAGCCAGGCTCCGGTCCTCAGGTCCCACAGTTTGACCGTCCCGTCGTCGGAGCTGGAGAGGACGAGACCTCGGCAGAACTGCAGGCACGTCACCGCCGACTGGTGCTTGTTGGGACCTGAAGGGAAACCACACTGTGACCTCTGACCTCCTCGCCACGGCAACGCACAGACATCACTACTACGTGTCACCACTCATTCACTGCGTCGCGTTTTCATGTACGTTTGTTTCTTTCACTACTTTAAGGTCAGTAACTACAGATGAAAAACGACCTTTGTTGACACATTTCCAGTTATTATTTATTATATTTGTGTTAAATAAACTCAAAACTGTGAATAAAAAACAAACTAATGTAGTAGAATCAGAGGATAAAGTGTCAGTACTGCACATCTGAACTGCAGTATCTTAAATAAAAGGCACAGAGGTAAAGTTTTTAAACCAACAAATAGAGAATATTTGGTATTTTAGCTTGTTTATCATATTGTTCTGGGTTTTTTAGGTATTAATTTTGCCTTTTTTAAATTCCCTTTATTTCCCTTATAATCTGTAATAAGGCATTAAATCCACAGACGTCTGTATTACTGCTGCTGCACCATAAAAACCCAACCAACCAAAACTAATTGAGTTTTACTGTAACTGTACAAACTGTTGTTTGACCCAAATCAGTCCTCATCAGATACTCACAGTTGCATTAAGTGACCACTAGAGGGCAGAAAGTCTCCTGAGATACAATGACTGTATCACCAACAGACACTGAACCACATTATCATTCATTAGGAGTCCACCTGATCAATGTTAGTCCAGTATTTACTCTCTTTTAGCTGCTAAATGTTCCACGATGTTCATGTACGACTGAAACTGCTGTTTGTCTCCTCTACGTCTGTGAGTTAAAGATTGATTTCCACCAAACCAGAGTTAAAAGACTAACAAAGACAGTTTGGGTGAGATTTATTTTGTTTCTGTCCACTTTAAATGAAGTTAAGATGTTTCAGGCTAAAATTTGTGTTTTTGTCTCTGGAGTCTGGTGGAGAGTGATCGTGATATTACGGCTGTTTGTGGTTAAACTAAAGGTCTATCTCTGGAGGGATCCTTTCCATAATGCTGTCAGACACTGACAATAACAACCTGAGTGTCAGTGGCACAAACAACTACTGTTAGTGGACAAACTTTGCAGTTTTATTTGGTTTCAATCCAGTTTGAAGTGTGTTTCCTGTTTATCTGCACAGTAAAATGACTGGTTTTGTCAATGGAGTCTGGTGGGCGACATCTAGTGGCACATAAACTCAGTGTATTTAAAACCTTTAAGCAAACATATGTAAAATACTACTTCTCTTGTCGTTTCAGTTTGTCTATATCGAGTTTAACTGTCTACCTTCATTCTCCCTCGTCTCCTTCATATCTCGTCCCCCATGATTCCTCTCTCTCTCTCTCTCTCTCCCTCCCTCCCTCCCAGCGGACTGCAGACAGTGTGTTAGTGCTGACTCAGTGACTCTCACCTTCATGCTGCTCTCATTGTTTTCTCTGACACACACACACACACACACACACACACACACACACACACACACACACACACACACACACACACACACACACACACACACACACACACACACACAGAGACAGTCCTCTCTCACCTTGCAGTGTGTGGAGACACTGTCCCGTCCGGACGTCCCACACCCGCACCGTCGAGTCGGCGTTCCCGGACACCAGGATGTTGTCGCGCAGCTCCATGCCGCTGGTCAGCGATTGGTGGCCCGTCAGCGTGTGGACACACCCACCTGCACACACGCACACACACACACACAGTTTAGAGGTTTCACTCTAATAAAAAGGTTTATTTTGAAGGATTCAGGTGGATTTAAAGCTGATGGGAGTTTAATTTCGACTCCAACAGATCAGAATTCACCTTCAACATAAACTCTCCTCAATAAAAGAGAATCTATTATATGTGTAATTTAATTAATTATTGTGATTGTAAAGTTTTTTATTGTACATGTTCAACTCAGTTCCTTTAAGTAATTGCACGAACACTCAGTTTATTACTGAAACTAACGCAGACCTGCAATAAATCCTCATCATAAAGGTTGTAATGTTTGTTTACTATATTAACATAAAGAAATGTTTATTAAAATAAGACGTATTATATTAGTGTGTGTATACCTGTCTCTGCGTCCCACACTCGGATTGAAGTGTCCAACGAGCCGCTCACCACAAACACGCCATCAAACTGCGGAGAGAGAAGATCACCTGTGATTACCTCAAACAGAAGAAGAGATTGTTGATCGAAGCAATCAAGGAAAACGTTTCTGTCGTTCACTATGAAGGATTTAGCAAGTTGCTAACTAACCTAAAATACCAAAAAAATATCAAAATCGAAGCAGCGGAACCAGAGTTATCGTCTTCTCCCTGGTCAGAACCCGGCAACTACATTACCCACAATGCAACCCGGCTGCTGACATTCAGGTGTGTTATGCTGCAGCGGCTAACGTAGCCTGCAGCCACAGAGGTCACACTCAGATCACTTCCCTCTCCGACTCCACACCAACAGGTTCGTTTTCTTTTTCAAACTTTTTCCGACGCCGACTCAAGTGACATCACTTGAGGCAATTTATCCGACTTCGCACAACTCCCCTCCGGACGCTAACGGCGAGAAAACGGAAGTGGAGCGCCTTTACGGTTGTTTATAAACAGCGAGCGTCATCATCAATGAGTGAAGCTGTTTCCATGGTTACCAAACAGCGAGGGTGTGTGTGTGTGTGTGTGTGTGTGTGTGTGTGTGTGTGTGTGTGTACCTGCAGCGAGTACACTCTGTTGGTGTGTCCCTGCAGCGTGTGCAGACACGCCTCCGTCTCGGGGTCCCACACCTTCACCATGTAGTCGTATCCGCCCGACACCACGCGGCGCCCGTCGTACTGAACGCAGCGCACCGCCGCCACGTGGCCCGTCAGCACGTGCTCGCAGCGGCCCGACGCCACGTCCCACACGCGCAGCGTCGTGTCCCGAGAGCCCGACACCACCCTGAGAGAGAGAGAGAGAGAGAGAGAGAGAGAAGGGGGAGGGGTTATTAGTGTGTGTGTTTATTGTAAATGTGTGTGTGTGTGTGTTATAGTGTGTGTGTGTGTGTGTGTGTGTTCATGCACAATGAATACACCATATTAATGTTATGCCGGTTACCATGGAGACGCGCAGCAGGCAGAGTGTATGAATCTTTGTCGGTGTGTGTGTGTGTAAGTCTCTCTGGTTGTCATGGTGACGAATGCAGCAAAAATGTTAGGTGTTCGTGTGTGTGTGTGTGTGTGTGTGTGTGTGTGTGTGTGTGTGTGTGTGTGAATTACCGGTTGCCGTGGAGATGCATGCAGCGCACAGTGGACGTGTGTCCGTAGAGCGTGTGGACACACTCGCCGCTCTCGGCGTCCCACACGCGCAGCGTCCGGTCGGTGGAGCCGCTGATCACCGTGGCGACCGCCATCTGACTGCACCACACGCCGCCGGTGTGACCCGTCAACGTCCGCAGACACTGAGAGAGACGGAGAGACATTTATAATAAATAAATAAAGTGTGTCATAAAAACTGTGGACGTGGGAAAGAAAGACGTTGGTGTTTCCAGATAGAGAGACGAGCTGAAGCTGTTGCATTATGGGAAATGTAGTATCCGGAGGTTTTGGAGGTTGATTCATATTTCCTGCCTCTGCTGCAACCGTTAATCATTCTTTTATACATCCCTCTTCAAACACCAACTCACTGCAGTGTCCTGAATAATGAATTAACAACCAGAGTGCTACATGTCCAAAACAAAAGGTCCATAAATAGAGAGGCAACTATATTTTTACTTCATATTGTTAATTAATTTATTTATTTTCCTAATGTCTGAGTGAGTTGGTGCGTGGTGGAAGTCTGTGACAATAAATCTCACTATAATATCTTTAATTTAAAGTCAGTTACACAACAATTTCTCTAATAAAGCAGTTTTATTATCTGTTAATTCAACTTTTAATGTGTAAGAGGAAGAAAGTGTTTCTGTGTCTGACTATAGTTCGTTATTAAACTCCCCTCGGTGAATAAAGGAAGTCTTCATTATAGTTTCTGATGGAAGAGATCGAATTTAACATTGCAGATTTAATTAAATTCAGTTAATTCAGTTACTGTTTCACTCAGTTCTGTGTGTAATATATTAATTGACAATTAAACACAGAAATATAATTACACAAATCACATTAAGTTTAAAAAAAAAAGATTAAATCAATAAACTTTTAATTAAAGCGCAAATTAAGTTGAAATGTCATCAACAGTTTTCTGGGGAAAAAAGAAGATTTTCTATATTCTGTGTGTGTGTGTGTGTGTGTGTGTGTGTGTGTGTGTGTGTGCGTGTATAAAAGTGTGTGTGTCAATATTTGTTCCACTTTCACAGCTACCTGAAGGACACACACACACACACACACACACACACACACACACACACACACACACACACACACACACACACACACACACACACACACACACACACACACACACACACACGGAGAAAGAATGCAGTTTCACCTTGGAGGTGTTGTAGTGGTGGTTGCCGCGGCAACAGAGGAAAACTTTGCCTTGGCAACTGTTGCCGAGACAAAAGAGGAGATACTGCGGTCGACGCTCGACTGTTACCGCCTCCGTCAGTCACATCTGTACAGACAGAGTCCGTATAACTCTTATTCTATATCATTATATCTTTTATTTTTCTATTTAATGTGTATTTGTCTGATCGGTTGCGTCGGTATCGGCAGCGTGGGATCAATAAATCTTATCTGATCAACGGCCGACTGACAAACTGTCGTCGCCTCCTGCTGACAACCAGCATTTAAATTCAGAGATGAGCGGAAACACAAACGCCTTCGTCATCCCCTCGGGATACAGATCAGGGTGTGTGTGTGTTTTTCTTTCTGCGGGCGGACACACACACACACACACACACACACACACACACACACACACACACACACACACACACACACACACACACACACACAGTATAAAGGGCAGGTCTAGACGGAGGAGAGCGAGCAGGTGTGTCCGGTTGAAGAATGTTCAACCGAAACCAGAGTGAACCGCGCTGTACTCTGTGATTCGCTGCTGTAGATGTTCAGTTTTAACTCTTTTAGAAACTGTTGGCTGCTTTAATCTACAGCATCTTAATCTGTAGGATAAAGGCTCAGTGTCACCAAAATCAGGAAAACAGCTACGATTTATAAACAGGGGAATAAAAAACAGGAAAAAAAGACCCATTTGAAGTTATTTTTGTTTTCAAAATAAAAGTGGAAAAAGACAAAATGACATGTTTTTTTTTTCTTTCCCTGTTTATGCTTTTATTTTTCAAATATATAGTAAATATATAAATATATAAATTGTCATATGTTTGTAGCGTGGCTGTCAGAAAGTTTTTTTTTTCCATTTTAAATACCGTATAACTTCAATTAATAACCCAGGCTTTTATTTTGTTCAGCCACTGAACTCAACCTGCCTTTATTCATTGTAGTAACATTCAGGAGGATTTATCGGAATATAATATCCACAGGTATGTTTTCATTAGTGAATAATTACCTGAATATAATAACATGAGCTGTTTTTATCTACAGTTTCTACCGTAGCCCAGAGTGGACAAACTCTGACTCTAGACAGAAACTATTGTAGTTTCTTCATCACACTCTGAAGAGGAAGATGAAGCTGCTAAGATACCATTAAATCCTGCACACTGGACCTTTTCTCAACCCATACAAACACTTCATCCTTCAGTTTATACACTCAAATACTCGAGTAAACCTCAATTTGAGCTGAATTACAGTACTTGAGTAAGAAGTCCAGCCGCCGGTGTAAAGACAGGAAGGGTGAGAAGAGAGAGACAAACAATCCCTCCACCTTTAACACACATATAGGTTGTGGATTCAAGCAGAGCCTCGGGCTCAACGACACACCCTGACTCATTACACAACCGGTCCGCCTGACAGCTACTCTATTATATTCTACTGCATTCTTCTCTATTCAGATATATAAGCTTCTGTAAGCTGCCTATTAGGCTATGTTGACCTACAAAACAGCCTCTATTGTTGCTTTATTATAATCTAACTCATGTAGGCAGAGTAGCTTTCAAATGCAACACTGATGATTATTTCCATTATATATTAATCTGTCGATCATATTGTTGATTAAATACTGAAGATATTCAGTCTACGTTCATATATCAGGACGTAAAGCATCAAATTCTCACATTTAAAGGAGCTGGAAACAGGGAATGATGTTCCACTATCTAATTAAATGCAGATTTAATTTGCTGTATTTCCATTTCCAAGTACAGTAAACTGCGATAAAGGAATCATCATCTCACTACCTGCGAATAATACAAAATAAAAGCACTGACAAAATAAGCCTCGCTTCTAAAAAGACTACTGATAAATGTAACTATTACTACAAAATACAAAACGGTTGTAGAAATACTACTAATAGTAATTATAACAGGAGGAATACAAAATAAAAGCACTACTTTTAGACATATAGTTGATATCAAATACAATTAATTCCTGCAAGACTCCAAAATAAAAGCACTGCTTGATAAAATGCTATTTACAGTACACTCAACAGCAAATTAATGCTACACTGTAATCCACACACACACACACACACACACACACACACACACACACACACACACACACACACACACACACACACACACACACACACACACACACACACACACACACGGGGGGATAAGATCCTTATCTACATAATCAATACGTCTGTCTCTGCTGACAACAAACACGGCGTCCTACCTTGCCCGTGATGGCCGACCAGACTTTGAGCGTGTTGTCGTCGGAGCCGCTGACAATCAGGTCGCCGCTGAACTGGAGACACGTGATCACATGATCGTCGTGACCTTTCAGCACCTGCGTAAAGAGAGCGAGAGGCGGCTTCAGTGACACGGTTTACACATCGAATACACGCCAGTGAGCCGGATCAGTGCGGCGGCGGCGTACCATCGGTTCTCGTGTGTCCCCCTGCCTCCAGTTGTTCTCTATACGGTGTTGTCTGATGTAGGCAGATTTCCACGGACTGACCGCCACGCCCGGCCGCGCGGACTTCCTGCGGCGAGACGACGCACAATCTGATATACCTGGGGAGAGAGGGTGAGACACATTAATATAAATAGAGCAGCAACAATTAACTGATCAATCAATTAGATGATCCACAGAAAACAATCTGCAACAAATGTTATAATTAATTAATCATTTGTGCACATTTATAAAAATTCACCAGTTAAATTGCTGCATAAGCTAATAGTAGCTGCAGATAAACCAATAGTAACAGAGTAGTTTGAGCTGACTTAAGTTTAACCACCATAAAGTAAGCAGAAGAGCACACAGTTGTTTTACTGATCAGAGTTTAACATCAGCGCTAGTTTAATTAGTATGTAACTGACATTCTCCTAATGCAGGTTAGCCGCATTCATATTCTCACAGGGTGCTAAACTAATGCCGACCATGTTCCCACTGGTACGACCGAGAAAGTGCAGCGCAAATACAAATCAGCCTCATTTATGAAGCTGGTGAGTTGCAGTTAACGCTGGCTTCATTAGTATGGCTGCGGTGTGGCGTTACCGCGAGGTAGGCTCATTGGTATGGCTGCTGAGTGCTGGCAGTGAATCTCGCCTGACTGGCAGCACGCCCAGAGAGAGAGAGAGAGACACACACACACACACACACACACACACACACACACACACTCTAACACACACACACACACACAGAGCCACTGCATTGCGCTGAATGAAGGAGGAGTGACTGACTGACTGTGTGTATCTGTATTTGCATGTTACACTCCGGTTAGAAAGAACTATACATCTCCTGCCTCTTATTTGTTTTCTGCTTTTCATATTTGAAAGAAACGCTGGAAAACACACCTCCAGAGTGAAAAGCTCAGACACCACATGATGAACTCTCACAGCCACGACGGGGGGAAATACAACAGCTTTTTTTCCTCATTTTGAAGGTTTTTTTGGGAGAAGATGAATCAAAATGTACCGAAGCCAAACAGTGTGAAAGGGAGACTAACAGAGTGAGGAGGCAGCCCTGCACAGTTTGACGTCTGGTGATTTATAATAAATAATCTATTAGAGCTCCACTGTTCTCCAAAAAACATGTTCCTCTATCAAAATGAACACACACATCGAACCATACGCCGTCCTGCTGCCCTAAAATGCTCCCTAAAGCACCAAATGTGGATTAATCCACCGGTTAAATGTCGCTAACCTTAACTAGTCGACACCAGGAATGATAGCGGGTTAAACTAATGATCATATTTCATGAATGTACAACGCTGGTTAACTTTGTCTTTATGCAGCCAACCTCCACTAGTCGGGGATACAGGACCAGCAGACAGCAGCTTCCAGTCTCTGCACTAACGCCACCGTTGGTTTTAAGAGTCCTCTTTGTCCCACGTTAGAAGTTATAATCTTTGGTTACTGCGGTCTGATTTCAGTCTCTACCATCCAACCTCACACAGCTGATCTGTTAGACATGGCTCTATTCAGGGGAGAGAGGATGGAGGAGCTGGCCTAGAGTTAGACTAGCTGCTCCCTGAAAGCTGTAACACTATCCTCTGTATTCACACCGTTGGTGTTTACCTTCCTCGCGGCACTTCTCCCTCCACAGCAGGTTGTCTTCAGCCAGGATCCTCCAGTACCTGCAGGTCTGAGCGGCCTGCAGCAGGTCTCTGGGAGCCAGGAAGGTCAGCACGTACAGCGCTAACTGCAAACACACACACACACACACACTTATAAAAACACTGCTCCTCATGTACACACACATATATATCTGTCCTGTTATCTGAACTGTGGGTACCTCTTTGGGCAGCAGGGATATGAAGTCTCTCTGGAACTGGGGCTCGATGACCTGCATCATGTGCTTCACCTGACTGGTCTCACACCTGTCGATCAGCTCGTCCAGAGCCAGGAGCCTCTCGGGGCCGCTCCACGTCTGCAAACAGGGGAGGATGAGGAGGTTTACTTTCAGTCTGTGGTTTCCCCCTTTAATCTATCACTGAACTGACTACATTCAACAAATACTGAACAGCTGATAAACAACTGCAGGAACTTTATTTCCTGTGAATATTAAACGCAGATGAGTTTTTCGGATATTTTTAGGAACTTTTCAAACAATTTTCTGACTTTATTATGTGTTTTTTTTTTATTTCTAACAATCATAAAGACATAAAAAGTTTCTTTTTGACCAGTTCAGTGTTTTATTCTTCCCAATTCTTCTAATAAAGGTTGTGTTTAGATCAATAATAGTCAATAATACACTGTAAACTTATTTTAACTAAATTTTATGTTACAGAAACTCAGTTTTGTAAGTTAAAAAACATTCTTGATTAAATGCTTTTCGTCAGTTTTTTCTCACAATATAAATAAAAGAAATAAGTCACTTAAAACTGCTAAAGCTACTTGATCAAGAATCTTTATTCATTTACAAAATTTAGCTCGTTTTACTTAATTTCTTTGAGTTAAATTAACTCATCTGGTCTAAATCTAATTTAAACTTTAAAATAACAATAAGTTTCTTCACATAAATAAATGAAATGCTGAGATAGAAACGCATTGTTTATGTTTATTATTCAAGGTTTTAGTACGCCTTAAAATCAAGAAGGCCTCGCGACCCCCTGTGAAACTTACCAAAGTGTTTTTCCTTTATGTTGGGAACTGCTTTAAGTGTTTTTCTGTTTATGTCTGTTTGTGTGTGTGTGTGTGTGTGCGCTCTTGTGTTTGTGTGTGTCTGAAATCGTTTTAACTTCTTTCCCCCCAAAGCGACTGAAGACAGATCCGTGTTTTTCATTTCAATGTGTGTGTGTGTGTGTGTGTGTGTGTGTGTGTTTTTTATTAGTTACATAAGAACAGCTCGGAGGCAGCACTCCTCTAACGTCTGTGTTCACGAGCAGGAAGCGGAAGATATTCACATACACACTTTACTGAAAATGTGTGTGTGTGTGTGTGTGTGTGTGTGTGTGTGTGTGTGTGTGTGTGTGTGTGTGTGTGTGTGTGTGTGTTGGCAGATAATCTGAACGGTGTAGTTTGTTTCAGCTCATGAAGTGTTACCAGAACCTGTTGTCAAATGTGTTGTATAAGGTGGGATAATTAAGCAGTTAATTAACTTCAATTAACAGAAACTATAAAGTCTTTTTTTGGAACAATGAGTTGAACAATGAATTGATTTCAGACAGAAGCAGATAAAGCTCAACCTAACATTAGCCCCAATGCTACTTGTGCTAAGATAACCTTGTTTAAAAGTTTACTATAAATAAACCTGGAGAAGCAACCGAGGTTGGATTAATGCTTTATTGCTTCTTTTACAAGAGAAGAGGCTTTTAGGAAGAGGACTAAAGTGTTTGGCAAAAGTATCTCGAATAACGAGTTGAGCTGGAGTGTAAACCCGAGCAGAGCTAATCTTAGCCGAAAGCATCTTGGCCGCCGCACAGCGAGTGTTGTAATCTGCAGTTAGCTTTAGAGGTGAGCTCTGATTGGACGATCGCTGTTTCGGGGGGGGTTGTGGTTGCCTGTGTGAGTGCTGACCTGGAAGATATGAAGCCAGTCCTGCAGGCCGGAGGGAGGCGGGCCCGAGGTGACGCGCCGTCGCTGAGCCGAGTGCCCATTGGCCAGCCGCAGGTCGCCGAATGTGGTGGGTGTGGCCGGAACCAGACTGGACGGACTGGGGGAAAGACAGTGAGACAGGGACGTTAGCATCTGCAGTGTGTGTGTGTGTGTGTGTGTGTGTGTGTGTGTGTGTGTTACCTGAGGTAGCCGTTGCCTTTGCAGTGCTTCTTCCCTGAAGGGAACGGCCGTCCGTCCGGACCATGATCCAACTTCCTCTTCATCTGGAGGTTGAGACACAACGACGGAGACAAAGAGAGACAGTGAGAGACTCTTCTGAGAGAGGAGGAAGTAATCGAACCTCTTCATTTATTCCATCAGTCGTTCTACACCAACATGGAGAAAAGTATCCGTTTGCTTGTTCGTGCTAACACAGGCCAACACCTTTATGTTGGAGCGCGGGTTTTTACCTCTGTATCAACTATATGTCCCATTATTTCCCAGCGGTTTAAACATGTCGCTCACTGACGGCTGCTCGGGGATACTACCGAGCTAACTGGAGGTTTGTAGGCCGGATTACGAACGGGGACGGCATCTTCCTGCGTTGGAGGAACGGCCACAAACAAACAAACAAACAAACAAACAATAAAACTGCTCCTGGAAACTTCCTCCAGGCTGGATTATACCAACCGGGTAAAGCTGTCCTTCGTTTGTTTGTCCGTCACTTGGTTTTGAATATTTGCAAACGTGTTAGTGAATTGTTAACCCCATTAAAACACAACAACAACAACAAAAGTGGGTCTCGTATTAATAGATAACTTTTCTTTTTCTTTAACAGAATCTCATTAAAGAGCTTCTTTATTTTACTTTATGTTGTACTCCTGAATAATGTGTTCAATACAATGAACACACACTAACTGTAACTGGGAGTGCTGGTTGTACTGGAGCTTGGGAGGTAGGTGGTGGGGGGTCAGTAGGGGCCCAATAGCACAGTTTTAGCCCAGGGGCCCCAAACTGGTTAATCCAGTAATATCCTTTAAAAGGGAAACAGCTCAAATGAACACAGATTAAATTTATTATCTACTTACATGAGACGATTAAACTGTCTCAATTTTATCTGAAAATTACACGTTTGTGGGTTTCTGCAAAGTTCCTGCAGTCAAAATGGCCCAATGATGATGATGATGATGATGATGATGATGATGATGATGATGATGATGATGATGACGACGATCAGTACTGTGCCCTTACAGTGTCCTATGTGTAATTTTGCACCGATTTACTGTCGTATTCGTCTATAATCTGTATTTGCATGAAGGGAAGCGATAAAAGGTAAATTTCTAATCTTTTATTCTTGCAGTTTAAAACTATTTACATGAAGAAGACATTAATAATATATAAAGTTTTGTCGGATTTTAATACATTTTCATACACAATAGTTCATCCAAGAGATGTTCTGATGCCGTGTTTTTCATTTATAATACCAGAACTTTACACATCAGTCGATACGAGTGCCGATCCGAATCGTGTGTGTTAAAAAATAGATAAACTGTTTATATATATATATATATATATATATATATATATATATATATATATATAATAATTTTTGAACAAGCTTACACTACTAAGCCTGTGTGATGGCTATGGGACACTGCTGGGAAGTAGCAGGGTACCGGATCGGTGCACACGTACTCACCGATACCTAATACCACCTGTTAGCCAGTATCAGAGGAACTTCAGGTACCGGTATCAGTACGGGAACAACTCTAAAGGCTCTGACACACCAAACCAAAGAAGAACTCACACCGTCGCCTGTTTCTTGGCCCAAAAAGTGACACCAGAATACGTACGGACTACAGCGAACGACCAGCGAGCACGTTCGTTCTGTGTCTGCACTCTCCCCACCAGCAGGTGGCGCTAGTCTGTCGAGAAATCACAGTAAACGACGTAATCAAGAGGGAACGCACCAAAGGATCGTCTCTCACAGACGACCTCCGCCGCAGACGAGTGCCGGCCAGAACTACAAACGCTCACGGCGCCTTAATTGACCCCAGAAATAAAGTTTACGGCCGCGTCCTCGCAGCTAAAACGAACACACGATTAACATTTTTTATCAACAGTTTCTGCGTCTCACACGTAGAAACCAGAGCAGACGGGCTCAGATGTGTTAATGTGGCCTGTGGAAGGAAACACAAGGAACAAGTTTGTGGGGTTTCGGCTCAAAAAAGAAAACAGCTGTCGTCGACTCCACGTTAATGCAGCAGCCCCGTGTGTGTGTGTGACTACAGAGACACTGAAAACACCTACGCTGTTAAGTAACACGAACGCACCCCGAGCCCAGAGGATCTGAATCAGCCTTCTATCTCTTTCTCTCTCTCTCTCTCTCTCTCTCTCTCTCTCAGTGAATGAACGCAGGAATGCAGAAAATCGCAGGAATGTCGCCGGTGCAGCACTGGTCCAAAATAGAGCAGCAGCAGCAGCACGCGCTAACAGGCTGCTGCTACACACACTACACACACACACACACACACACACACACACACACACACTGGAGGATGGTACAGGACAGTATGTGCGTTCTTGTCCTTCTTCCTCTTGGCATCTTTATGTGAACACAGCGACATCCGACAGACTGAATGAGGTCAAAATTAAAGAAGACTTTTTATATATATTCATCAACAACAACAACAACAACAACATACGGCCGCGATCTTTCGGGCACTAAACTGCGACCTAAAACTCGTAATCTGCTTTTCATTTTGGGCTGGCTTTTTAATAACAGATGTCGCGTCTGTGTGGATTTCATTAAGCCAGAGAAACTTCAGTTGAGGGTGAAGGACAAAAATGTGTTTACTGTTAAATCCAGAACAATTCAGCTGCTTTCATACAGAAATAAAAGACTGTATTTGAATGTAAAACCTTCTATAATGTTCCTATAATACGCTTTAAGATGCTTTTATATTCTGTTAGCAGCACTTACAGTGTGTATGGTGTGTGTAAGAGGTAGTTTATGGAGCTCCAGTAACATTAACAGTGACTTATGATGTATGATAATCAGTAGTGTGCACTGTGACCTTACTGTGACCTATGTGTCATTTTACAGGGATTTTGTGTTATATCCGTCTTTAATCTGTATTTTCACAGTAGAGAGAAGCAAAACACGTCAATTTCTAGGGTTTTATTCCTGCAGCTCGTCTAGTAAAGATAAAGAAGTGTTGGATAGTAAAGATTTACTCGGATTTCAAGTCTTTTTTGTAGATTTAAGTTGCTTATAAGCCATATTTGACCCCAAAAAATGCAGTTTACAGCAGCTGCACAGTGTAATATCCCTCTTTTATTTGTGTTCTCAGACAAAAATGTCAGTATTTAGAGTTTTATTGTTGTAATTTGCAGCTGGAAAGATTCATTTGCATTGGATCTTAAGCTTTTGGTTGATTTCAACTTATTTTGATAGATTTTTGCTATTTTTTGCAGCACAACTGTTCTCTAATGTGCCTCTTTTACAGGTTTCCACTGGAGGCCAAACATGTAAATTCCTAAGGTTTTAATCTTGAAATTCGTGGCTGTGAAGATGAACAAGCCCTCAAGCTAAAGTGTGGTCTGAATTTAAGTCTTTGAGAGATTTCTGCTGTTTTATACACCCAAAAATGTCCATTTATCTGTGTAATATTTCTCTTTTACTTTCACTGTGTAGGGAAGCGAAATGTCAGTTTTTAAAGGGTATCTTGTAGTTTGTAGCTGTGTGTGATTTTAAGTCTTTTTAAACTCACTTCTGCTCTTTCATACACCCAGAAATGTGATTTTACAGCAGCTGAACTGTGTATAATCTTTATTTCAGGTTTTAAAAAGCATCAAATACTCAACTTCTTTCACTTACAGTCGGCTGACGTTTATAATTCACCTGCATTAAACCACACTGGACCCAATAAAGCCATTCACAGCCGTTTTAACAAGGAATTCAAACCCTCCCCCGGTGCCTTGCTCATCGGCTCTGCTGGAGGTTCAAAGTGCAGCAGACACCTGCACAGAGGCAGCTGGTTACCAATAATCAATAATCAAATCAGACACACAGAGAGAGAGAGATATAGGGGGGAGATAGGACATAAAATGAGTCTCTCTCTCTCTCTCTTCCTTCCTCTCTCTCTCAGATCCGCAGTGGTCTACACACACACACACACACACACGCACACACGCATATACACACGCACGCGCTACCGAGGCATTCCGCTGTCAGGCAGAAACGCCTTGTCATCCCGGTGTTGCACGAGCCTGACAACCTTGAACACCTGCCCGACAGCCCTCCGTTAAACCAAATATATATCTATATCTCTCTCTATATATATATATATTAACACAGGAGATTAAAGAGCAGCTGCTGACGTCAGGCTGATCGATAATCAATACTCACTTTATAGAAGATGAGCTTCAAGGTGCCGTAGAAACCCATGGCTGCCCCCCCCCGGTACGGTGGAGCCCTCCCGGACACCGAGAACCGCTCAGATATCACAAACTGGAGGAGATACAACGCTAAAATCCAGCGGAGGGATATCCGAGTCACAGCGGCGTGGTGTCAACAGTCCATCCGGTCAAAGCACCCGGCGGATCGATCACAAGCTACAGATCGATCAGGTAAAGGAGCGCGTGGAGCTCGTGCTGCTGCTTCTGCTGCTTCAGGATCCACTGACTCTCTCTCTCTCTCTCTCTCTCTCTCTCTCTCTCTCTCTCTCTCTCTCTCTCTCTCTCTCTCTCTCTCTCTCTCTCTCTCTCTCTCTCTCTCTCTCTGCGTTCAGCCGCTGTGTCGCTCGACCTCCACAGGAACACGCAGGGACATGCCTCCCTCTGCCTCGTGAGGGAGGGAGGGAGGGAGGGGTGGAGCCGCGTGCCTCTGTGTGTGTGTGTGTGTGTGTGTGTGTGTGTGTGTGTGTGTGTGTGTGTGTGACATCCTGATTAGAATTCTGCGGAAAATGTATCTAATTTTGTGACGTACGGAGTTCTAGAACGGACAAACCTCACGGAACGCCACACACCGGAAGTGACTTCAACAGCTTTAAAGCTGTAATTGACAGAGCTTTAATTGAATTCCTGATTCGTCCCCAGTAGTGGAGAAGTAGTAGTTTACTATTTGAATATAAAAAGTGTCATTTGAACTCTTTAAGGTCACATCTTCAGTTATATTGTTCCCATATTGTTTATTTGTGTTTAATTTAACAGAAACTTTCATTTCTTTGTGTTTTTATATCAAAAATCCAATAATTTTGTCTTCTTGTTAAAGAAAATGTGACGCGTGCTTACGTCTGATTTCAACCGATAAAAACCAATCGATCAATCTTCACGGCGAAGGTTCATTAGTTAGCTAGCTAGCTTCACTTAACTTTTAATGCTAATGAACTAACTCATATTTGATGGAGAGAATATTGTCTGGTTTTCCCTCCGACGTCCTTCCGCTGCTCTTCCTCATCTCTGCTAACTGCTAACGTAGCTGCCGTTAGCGTTAGCGACCGAACCTCAGATGACAGTTTGACAACAGTGGTACTGAGGTGATTTACAGATGGACTTGTTGCTACAAGAAGCTAACTGTCGCTAACAGCATACCTGCCAACTTTTCAAAAAAAACCTTGGAGTGACATTTTGTCGGGGGTGACCAAAATGAGGCCGCGCACGCAGCCACACAAGTTGGTGGCTCAGATATCGGAGGATTGGAACTCATTTGATGTTGTACCCAGCTGAAGGTCCACCCACAGGACATTTTGGATTAAGTAGATGTGATTTCCTGCATTCTAGTGGATTGTTGGGAGGTCTGCTAAAGATGTGCAATACCTGAACTTATTCTGATTCATGTTCGGCATCATGACTTGTAGGGCCTTCTAGACTTGAGCTGAACATTCAACCAGAAAACTATTGTTGTGCCTCAATGACTGCCTGTATCACAATAAAGCCTTATTCATAGCCCAGTGTTTAAGATTGGACCTAGTGCCTGTAGGTTGATTGATATGTTGATTAGAATGGTATTAAACTGATATTGTGAGCATGCAGTATACCACCAGGTTAACAAGGTGCTCTCCTGCTGCTTGTTATGACAGATTTCACCACATTAAATCATGTTCACACGCACAAACAAATACTTTATAGAAGATTTAAAGTTTAACAGAGTGAGTACTCAACTGGACGACATTTCATTGTTACATACTCTCAGCTCAGATTCTCATCAGACTTCTCGAGGTAGTTTCTCCCGCTGTCTTTCTCGGTATCTCTTCTGTCGCTAACTTCGGGGTGCCATAGACTGTATACATCGAACGGGGTGCAGCATATATGGGTTCAGTGGCGCTCATCAGCGCCATCTCCCGTCGGGGAATTTAAAAAGGAACGAACAAGTCTCGGCCCAAGATCGGATTTTTTTTTGCGTGAGAAATTGGACGTGTGGCGTGAGTGCGTGTGAAAACAGGCAAAACCGCGTGTCACACTGCGAAAGCGTGAAGGTTGGCAGCTCTGAAACAGTAATGTTAGACGCCGTTAGCTAGTCAGCCATTTTATGCTACTTTATAGTTTTACTCCACTACATTCATTTGATAGCATTAGTTACTTTACAGATTCAGTTTATTAAAACTAAATATAAATATAATAATAAATCCAGCAACAAATTATTTATTTTAGCTCTACCAGCTAGTCCGACGTGCGCGGACAAAAAGTAGATCGTCCAGACGGGTGAGAAGCATTATTCAAACACATACCTGTCTCACACACAAACACACACACTTATTTTCACAAACACACACACACACACACACGCCCAGCAGGGGGTTGTTGGAGGTCACCGCTTTCTCACAGCTGATTGACCCTAAGGTCGTCACACTGAAACTCCCACAGGCACACACACACACACACACACACACACACACACACACACACACACACACATCACACACACTAGGCAGTGTGAGGAGGAGCTGGGGGATAATTATGGAGGTCAATCCTTCACCCAGAGCCTGGAGAGACAAAACACACAACACCTCCCCTCCACCTCCCCTCACCTGTTCAGCCTCCCTTTCTTTCTTTCTTTCTGGAGGCTGAGTTGGTTCTCGACACAAAAACCACCACATTCTGCTCTCTCTTTCATTTCCTCACATTATTCCAATCATAAATTCACTCTGGCAACAAAAGAAGAAGAGGAAGCCCAGAGCTGATTCGTCTTCAGGTGTTTCGGATGTACGAAAAGGAAGCAGCGATTATTAACTACAGACAACCACAAACACCTGTAGAGTCGAATGTTATCCAACGTAACCGCCCCGCAGCGAGTGGAGTCGATGAGTTCCTGGTGACTCGCAGACGTGTCCGTGCTGGTGGTGGATCGTACTCACAGGTGTTTCTCATATTTTGTTCCACAATGTATTTAAACTGTATATGAGAAACACCTTTAATTCCAGTCCTGAAACGCAACGCAGACTCACAGCGGACGATAGAAAGTCTGCATCACTATTATAAAACACGTTGTACCGAGCTGAGATCGAACACGACCTTCCTGTTTGTTAGGGCTGCAAATAAACATATTTACTCTGTCTGTTAATCTCCTGATTATTTGTTTTAATTAACCTATTTAAAGGATTAGTCAAAATAATAGTTGGAAAATAGTGAAAAACAACCATCACAAGCTCCCAGAGACCAAAGTGACGTCTTTAAAATGTTTTCTTTTGTCTGACTAACAGTAAAAACGATACTTAATTTACACTTATTAAAAATAAAACCAGAAAATAGTCAATGTTTTTGCTATATACACGACTAAAAAGAATCCATTGATTGTTTGCTTTTTAAAAATAGTGAGAAATGTCGTCACAAATTACCCAAAATGATCACAAATAAATACAAATGATTAAAACCCTTCAAAAGGAGAAGCAGCAAATCTTCACAAGCTGCAACCATTAAATGTTTTTATATAAAATTTGTTTATTTTCTGTCTCCTCCAGCAGCTGTCAATCACCTGACCTGCTCTGACCCCGCCCCCTGGCTCCCTCCCCTCCGTCAATCAGCCTCATCGCTGCCCAGGTGACCTTTGACCTTCGGACTTGTTAATCTGTAAATCTCTGTTCGTGTGTCATCGTGTCCGTTATCTACCACCGATCAATCCCATAATGCCTTTCACCACCTTTTTACTTCCACTTCCACCCTTAACAGTTTCTAATTCCCTCCCTCCCTCTCTCCTCTCTGTCCTCCATCCTTCTCTCCTTTATGTCTGTTACTAATTCCTCCCTCTTCCTCCATATTGTCATAAATCTGAGCTCAACATCTCCCCCTCTCTGCTTCCAATTTACATCTTTTTCAACCCTCCACTCCTCCGTTCTCTCTTCCTTTCTTCCATTGTTGATTTTGGTCTTTTTCATAAGATTCATTGAATGTAGAACGAGGTCTGCTCCCCGAACGTCGAACCATCAGTCGAGGAGAAGAAGAGTCGACTGATGAAGGACGATCAAGTGTTTTATTGTTATTTTTTTAGATAATACAGAGCACATTGCACACTTTAAGTACATTAAAGTTACTAAAATAAATCCAAAACTTAACTGCATCAAGAAACAAAATGCGGATGTCCTGATCCGATCTCAAAGATCAAAGCATTTTATAACCGCAGAGAGTTTATTTTAGACTTTACTGTGTAAAATAAAACCAGGGATGTCCTGGTGATCAATAAAGCTCAACATGTGGCTCTTCAGCCTCTCTAACATTTCGGTGCCTTCTCTTTATTTTGCCGAACATGAGCTGAGGCTACCAGTCTTAAGTTGTTAAGGTAGCTGTGTGGCTCCAGACAGGTTTTTGAGCTCGAATGGTTACCGATCAGTTAAAATCGATCAGATCGGATTGGGACATATCACAGACGATGAAGTTAAAGGCAGTAAAACGAGGGTCTGTTGTAGGACTTGCTGCACTGTAACTGAACGTCGGCCATTAATAATGTATTTCCTCATTATCAGCCGCACTCGAGGAGAAATATCAGTCGAGTATTTATGAAAATATCTACAGACGAAGCATGAACCTCCATCTCTTCCTCTGCTCACCCTCCCTCACCCACCCTCACCCCCTCACCCACTCTCTCTGGTATGCAGACCCACTGAGTCGCTCCCTCTGATGGTCTTGTAAAACCTGAAACTGGTGTGTGTGTTATGCATTAAAACAGCTGACTGTTTCCCACACTCCAGGACCCGTGTGTGTGTGTGTGTGTGTGTGTGTGTGTGTGTGTGTGTGTGTGTGTGTGTGTGTGTGTGTGTGAGTGTTTAATCCTTGCAGCTAACTACTGTCAGACACTGGAAACAGAGAAAACCACTTCAAAGACTGAGGCAGATGTGGCCTGTGTGTGTGTGTGTGTGTGTGTGTGTGTGTGTGTGTGTGTGTGTGTGTGTGTGTGTAGCATGAGATAGCTGGATTAGCCTACAAGTGTGTGAAGAATCAATAAAGAGAGCAAGAGAGAGCAGATGAGAGGAATGTGTGAAAGATTGATTTTCAGCAGATGATGTTTCAACTCTCTCCGTCTGTGTGTAGACTGTCAGTAGAGAGCAGAGTACAGTAGAAACTGACTGTATATGGACTGTAGACAATATATGTTTATATATATGTATATAAACACGTATATATGTGTATATAATCCATCACAAATCTTGAATGCAACAGTTCACATCAAGTAAGTCTTTGAAATCGTCCTCACATCCTCCTGAGAGAGACCCACATTGGAAGCTAGAGAGAGACTTTGAGAAGCTGATGAATCAAACACAGACAAACACTTCAGACGGTGTAAACAGTTGAAAGAGTGTCTAACGCTCGATATAAGTTTGGCCCGGGTCCCGGTACAGTCTCCGGAACAAAAGCGGACCCCGTGAAGACTTCCTGAACTCGACGTGCGCTGACAGTTTGCGAGGCGGCGAGCTCCTCGGACAGACACTGCGGCTATCGAGCCGACGGGATCCGAACACAGACACTGCTGTGTGTTTCCAGTGGGACCGATTACAGAGGTGCAATGCAGCAAACAACAGGTGCTTTATAAGTGTGTGTGTGTGTGTGTGTGTGTGTGTGTGTGAGTGAGAGTGAGAGATAGACTGTGAGAGTGTGTGTTCATCAATAATGAATGCAGGGAGTGTAGCAGGGATGTAAGGGACTTAGTGCTCATGTATATTTTAATGAGTAGCTGTGTAGGTGTGTGTGTGTGTGTGTGTGTGTGTGTGTGTGTGTGTGTGTGCGCTGCTATCACTCTCAGGGGTGAAATCAAAATTCAACTCTGTTTGTAATCCGGAAGAAAGGATACAAGGAAAGAAAGAAAGAGTAATTTTTATGTAAAACTCTTAACAGCATATTAGACCTGAAACAGTCCGTGTTTCCATGACAACGGTTGCTAAAAACAAGGCGTGCACGATGGGGATTTTTCGGCCGACTGATGCCGATTATCTCAAAATGGCAGAAATTCGTCCTCAGTAATGTTTGAGGTGCCAAAACAGAGTCGGGCTGCACAATTAATTGAATATATTAATGAATTCACAAATATTTTAGGGCGCTTTTTAAGCAAAACTGACTCGTTTCAGCTTCTTGAATAAGAATTTTCTCTTTTTTTTTAGTCTTTTGAGATAATAACGTGAAGATCTGTAGGTTTTGGACTGTTGGTTAAGAAAAGACGTTGAAAATCATATTTTCTGCCATTTTATACACGAAACAATCGATTAATTGAGAAGATGACCCGCAGATTGACCGTCGACTCTTCTATTAAAAGTTCTTGTTGTTAACGTGCTGTCACATTAATATAAGCCTGATGAAGGCAGCAATGTTACATATATATATATATTCCATCTTAAAAAGGAGGAATTCGAGCGTGAGAAAGTGAAAGAAAAGTCTGGATGAGAGGATGAAAACAGAGCGAGAACGACTGAACGCTGAAAGTTTTACTGACATTCTTCAAGTGTCGCCTTTCACACAGCGAGTGTAGACAGTGCAGCACCTGTTCCTCATTGTACCCTGTCCTACACACACACACACACACACACACACACACACACACACACACACACAGGTCAGTGCCGTGCCCGCCAATAGGAACGCAGCGCTGGACGGTTGCCGCGACGATGATGCCGACAGAAGAGGAGGAAGAAGACACCTGGTCTGTCTGAGCTGCTTCCTGTTTCAGTTGCTTTAAACTCGACCTTTCGGCTCCCTCTCAGCCAATGAGCTTTGAGGAGGGGGGAGGAGGGGGCGTGGCCTCGACACAGACCGCCGTGACCTCAGCAGCTGCTGTCTGCTGGACCTGGCAGAGTCACTAGAAGCACGTTCATGCTGTGTGCTACCTGTAGCTAAGCTAACGGCTCAGAGAGGCTAACTCTCTGGTATATGTGTGTGGCATTGAGGTAATGATTGATTGTTGATTGATTGATTGATTGATTGATTGAAGTCCGAACCACTGAACCAGAATAGAAAGATTCAGAGGCTTAGCAACAACTAGCATAAACTCCAACTCAAAGCGGAGGCTGGTGCCGGTGGGCTGATATATATATAATAAATATATATTTATATAAAGAAGGATGGATTAACAGTGGATATTGATCAGGTATTGACAGACTGACAAGCAGCCAAAACAGACTTTCCTCTGCCTTTAAAGAAAACACCTTCCAGCAGGTCGTCCTGTTGTTAATGGAAACCTTCGGGGCTGATGAACAGGTGAATGATAAAGGGTTTCTATGGATGTGGATCCAGAACTCGCTGGATTAAATATCTCATCTGTGTTGGGAACCTCGGGATCCTCCAGGACGAGCTGGAGAACGTCTCTGAGGGCCGGCTGCCAATGTGACCTCCGCGATTATAAAGCAGCAGAAGTATAAATCTATAGAATAAATAGTGTGAGGTGTAAACGTCCTGTCGCTCTCTACTGAGGCGTAAACGCTGAGACGTTATTATTAAAGATACGAAGCAGATTGAACTTAAAGTCTGAATTAATCGTCTATAATGTGATTAACTTTCAGCAGCGAGTCGAAGCCGCCGCAAAGAGACCGCACTGTAACTGGAAGGTCGCAGGTTCAAGCCTCCGTCCTGCTGACGAGCACAAGACTCCGGGAATGCTGCCGCAGCTCGAGGAATGTGTGTGTGTGTGTGTGTGTGTGTGTGTGTGTGTGTGTGTGTGTGTGTGTGTGTGTGCGGTGCGCTGACTCGGCGAGATCACTGTGGTGGACCTAACTGGCTGGAAAGCTGCCCGGTGCAGGAATGTGACCTCGTGCACACACACGGTATGAGGGTGTGTTAAGGTGTGTACGCCGGTGGAGGAGGAAGTATCCGGATACTTTACTGAAGTTAAAGTACTAATACTGCACTGTATAAATACTCTATTACAAGTTAAAGCCAAGTATTCCAAATGTTACTTAAGTAAAAGTACTTAAAGTATTAAAAGTTGTACTGTAATATATGATATCATTAATTGATTTATGACTTTACTTTCTACAAAAAGACACACACACACACACACACACAGACACACAGACACACACACATTAAAGAGCTGTTTTTGGAGTAAAACCAGGTCATCAGATAATTAAGGAGGATAATAAAAGGACTTTATATTGTTAGAATATTGTTCTAGTGGAAGTGAAATAATCTCAAAGAGCTCAGGATGATCTGAAGCTGGGAGGTTAATCGGAACAATTAGAGGGAATCAATAATATAACAGTAATCAATAACAGTTCAATTAAAAAACACGCAGTTCTTCTGTTGAACAAATGAGTCCTTAGATTATATTCACCCTCGTCACAGCGCCGGTTTTCAGACTAATTAAACGGATCCTGAACCACAAAATGTCCGACTGAGAGAAAGTCCTCATACCAGACATACCTCTGCTGCTCTAATGTGCTTCTATTCACACCAACCAGTCATCTGACCCTGTGTGTGTGTGTGTGTGTGTGTGTGTGTGTGTGTGTGTGTGTGTGTGTGTGTGTGTGTGTATATGTGTATATATTCTCCTATATGTGTGGTAATCTAGAAAAAAAAATGCCTTTAGATTACAGAGCGTGTCTCACCAGATTAGTGCCCTAGTTTTTTCCATCCGTCTGCCTCACACACACACACACACACACACACACACACACACACACACACACACACACACACACACACACACACACACACACACACACACACACACACACACACACACACACACACACACACACACACACTCCATCATTAAATCTGATCTTCAATAATCAGCTCTAAATGTAATAAAAACCCACTGTGTGTGTGTGTTTGTTAACATTTCCCATAGCAGGAGACTTCATATCCCATAATCCCGATGGAGGAATCTGAGGAATGTTCACTGCTGCACATTCCTACACACACCTACTGTGTGTGTGTGTGTGTGTGTGTACTTATGTACAACTTAATAATATATATAAAGTACTTATACTTTCTACTTCCACATCTTAGAGGGAAATAATGTCGTTTTTAAACCACATTTACAGTTTGAATTACAGCTACGAGGATTTACTTCATTATGTATTGATTGATTATTGAATGTTTGTCAATAAAATGCCATAAAATAGCATTATTTTTATTATTATTATTATTATTATTAATTACTTGGTCGACCAACACTCCACATAAGTTCAGTTTAGTTTCTAACGTAACGAAGAGAAGCGACAACAGAAGCTGGAACAAGAGAAAGTTTTTGCTTCATAAATTACTGAAGCGATTAATCAATCATCCAGATAAGTTGCAGATTAATTATCTGTCGTCAGACTAATTGATTATTTAACAAATTGTTTCAGCTCTAATCAATAAACAGTATAAATAACAGACAAGACATTAAAATAACTCCACCTGTATTTAACACTTTATTAACTTCTATCAGCAATTAAAGATAAAACAGGTTATAATTTAAACATAATGTGTATTTAAGTGTTTTTACATCCTTAAAATAAAATATAATAAATATACTGCACTTAAAAATAACTAATTATCAGGGTAAATAAACACTAAAGTGCCTTTATAATGAAGTATTTGAGTTAAAGGAGGAACACACACACTTTCTCTCACGCAGTCGCAAACACTCGACCTCCCACACGCAGCAGTTGGTGTTCAGTTTGTTTATAAAGACGACAAAGCACGAGACACAATGGCACCTGAATGCCACACACACACACACACACACACACACACACACACACACACACACACACACACACACACACACACTGATGACGTCGGCTGGTCCCTGAATGCCACAAACACACAGGTCACACAATGCATCACTGAGCCAGGTGTTGTTCCTCCTCTGTGTGTGTGTGTGTTTTGTGTGTGTGTGTGTGTGTGTGTGTGTGTGTGTGATTAAAGCCACACACACTTCAGGAGATAAAATACAACGTCGCCACCTGCTGGCTGAATGCAGACAGTGCAGTTATCGCTCACTGAGGATCTTTCAGTCGTTTTCTGTTCAATAACTTTCGGTCTTTAAACTCATCAGCTGTTCAATATGAACATTTGTTACATTGTTTATAACACAAATACAGATTTCACTGTTCTGGTTGCACGAAAAAGTAAAAGTTCTCAGGCTATTTATGACTTTTTGTGACTGCGACAGCTTCAGAATCAGGTTTATTGCCAAAAAGTTTTTACACAAACAAGGAATTTACCTTGATGCATAAAAATCAAATTTGAAATATAAATACGATTTCTATAATATATAGATTAAATTGTCTCTCTCAGTCTGCAGACTGTGTATATACTGAATATTCTGTATTGTGTCACCACAATCTGGCCAATATAACCACCCTTTCTTTCCTCAAGTAGAAATACAGATACTTGAGTAAAGTAAAAGCTCTGAAATGTTCCCTCTTGGTTTCTCTGAAGGACGTTTCTGAAACTTCAGACATCGTCTCTGGACTGTTTCATCAGGTCTCCATGTTGGTGAAGAAGCGTAATGATGCAATAAAACAAATATTCCGTAAAACGTCCAATAAAAGCAGAGTCCCTAATAGACGCAGGTCTCATTTAAAAGCCTGGTGTGGCAGGTCTCCAATAGAGGCCTGGTCTGGATTTTATAGAAATTATCTCGATGTATAAAACCTCTTAAAATCCACCAGGTCGCCCGCTTGAGAGAGTTTTAAGTCGTTTTAATCTCCTACACAAATATAAATGTTTAAACTTCTGTCAGTATGTTCATAATGAACGTCATTAATCAGTTATAGATTCTCCACAACTCAATCGTTCAATATATTTTACTAAAACTATCAACAACAAAGTAAAACGTTAATTCATTCTGACTTACCGGTAACACGGTAAACAAAAGAGACGGAAAAAAACCTCTGAAGCATCATAATCATCATGTTAGTTGAACAAAATCTCAAGAGAAGCAGCAGTTAGAGTTCAGTTTAAAGGAATTAAAGGCCTGTCCCAAATAAAGGCCTGTCCCTAATAAAGGCCTGTCCCCAATAAAGGCAGGGGGAGTTCAGTGATTTAAGCAAATAAACGCAGTCCGGGCTATTATTAGAAGTTTTACGGTATATGATAATAAAATAAGAAGAAAACTAAAGTCTGATTTTAAACTTTAAGCAGCAGAAGTTCAGATATTGGAGATTAAAGGTTGTTGAGTTCTACCTGACTCAGCAGCTGAAGCGAAGGCGACGTCACCTCTCCGCTCTCCTCCTCTTCCTCGTCGCTGTTCGCCTCCTCCTCTTCCTCTTCCTCCTCCTCCTCCTCCCCCCCTCCTTTGGTCTCCCCTCCCTCCTCCTCCCCTGCGCCTCCTCCTCCTCCGTCGTCCGCCGGCGTGATCTGATTGGCCGTCTCCAGGTGGGCGGTGCCGAACGGCTCCGACGGACAGGACTCGTCCTCGATGGTGACTATGGCGACTCTCACCTCGTCTTCCTCGCCGTCCTCCTCGCCCCCTCGCCCTCCTCTTCCTCGCAGCAGGGAGGAGGAGAGGAAGGGGGAGGAGGTGAAGGAGGAGGAGGCGGAGATCGGAGTGTGCCTGCCGATCGGCTCCGCCCGTCCTTTGTCTTTGGCGCCTGCCTTCATCAGTTCTCTCTCCTCCTCCTCCTCCTCCTCCTCCTCTTCCTCCGTCCTCCTGTACGATGTGTTTAGAGTTCTGTCCTTCTCTCCTCGTTCTCTCGCTTCCAGTCCATCTATCCTCTCCTCCTCTTCCTCCTCCCCTCTTTCTTGACGCCCTTCGTCCATCTCTTCCTCACCTTCCGTTCTTCACACAGCAGAAGAGCGACGAAGCATCCTGAGAGATCAATTAACACATTAGTGACAATAAAAACAACACTAATCACTGATCAATAAATAATAATGATCAATAAAGCTTTACAGACTAGTTTGAGGTTTCATTTATAACGTTGATGTTTAACTTCTATTTATATTAATTCTGTTTAAAGGACCAGTGTGTCGGATTTAGCGACTGAATACTGCTCGCCTCACTCTAGAGTCGGTGTTTGGTTTGTCTGTTCTGGGCTACCGTAGAAACAAACGGCTCATTTTAAAAGGTAACAAAAACACAATTATTCTTTATATTCAGGTGATTAAACATTAATAAATATTATTTTATATTTCTGACAATAAATCCTCCTCAATGTTAAATCTGATATCCTCCAGCTGGATCCATCAGGGTGATCAGAAGATATATTTATCTTGTTTTCTCTATGTATTTATTTGTTTTATAGACGTCTACATATTGTTTTATGTATTTATTAAACACTACGATTCATCACTTTACTGTCTTCTTGTCTCTTTTTAACTTTCTCACCTTATTTTTGTTGTTTTTTTGAGATGTAAACGGCTTTAATACATATTTTTGGGTATTTAACCTTTAAAAAAAAAGCTCCACAATAACAATATACAACAATATAATAATAAAATGTTTGTTCTCTAACTCTAGTAGATGCATATATGCGTCTGTGAACAGATAAACGAGACGTACCGATGAAAACAAAGTGTAATTCAACCACAAACATATAAAACAGCTCCTGTTAACTCATACTTACATTATAGAGACACAGCCGAGGGTTCGACCCCCGAAACCTTCTGATGTGAAGAGACGAGAGGAGGAAGAGGAGGAGGAAGAGGAGGAGGAAGAGGAGGGTGAGTTCATCTGAAGGCTCTTCATTTACAATAATGTGACACAATATCTTCTTTTATTTCAGCTGTTTTTGTGATTTAAAATCCACAGATGTTGTTTATAAAGACGGAAATATGTCCCCTGTGTCATTAATGTGGCAGTTTTTGTAGTTTTTGTTGTAGTTTTTGTTGTTTTGTTGTAGTTTTTGTTGTTTTTTGTAGTTTTTGTTTTTGTAGTTTTTGTTGTTTTTGTTGTAGTTTTTGTTGTGTTTTTGTTTTTGTTGTAGTTTTTGTGTTTTTTGTAGTTTCTGTTGTAGTTTTTGTAGTTTTTGTAGTAAATCTGCCTGTTGCGTTTCTATAGCAACAGTGAAACTGTTTACAAAAAGCCCAGAAACAAAGTTAAATATTGTTGATTCAAACATTAAAGGTCGTAAATAAACCAAACTCACCTTTAAGACAGAAACTTTGTCCTCCGGACTTTAAACTTTAAACGGATTTCTCCTCCTTTCTGTCTCTTTCTTCATTTAGTTTTACTTTCCAGCAGCTTTAACGTCTCATTACTGTTTCAGAAAGGTAGAACTTCATCTTCAACTTCACCTCCCAACCGATTTAAACCTCTTAAACTACAAACAAACTCTAAAACAAACTCTAAAACAGACCAAACTTTCTCCGCTCCGTTGTTTTCAGCTCTCTGCACATGGAGCTTTGTTTGGCGCGCTTTGATGACGTCACGCGCTCCCCCGGCCGTTATTTTTTTTTATTTTATTTATTTATTTATTTATTTATTTATTTATTTATTTATTTATTTATGTTTGTTTGTTTGTTTTTAATCCATTTAAAGTTTAATTTTGTTGTCCAGTGAGTGTGTTTAATAAATAAATAATAAATCTTGTAATAATTTATTATTTAATTTTTAAATAAAAACATAAAAATAACGGTTTAATGCAAATAAACAAAACGATTAAATAATATCAGAAAGAATAAAGCTTAGTCCATTAATTACAGTAATTATTGCTGTTTTCAGTGATAAAAACTGTATTTTGACAGTTTAACAATGTTTGCATAATAATAATAATAATAATAATAATAATAATAAACGTTTATTTAATGTTTTTGTTGTGAATATTTGTCAAAAAATTGTAAAATTACAAAACAATTACATAATTTTTAATGTATTAACAGTAATAAACTTGAATTGAACAGTTTAATCTATTAAATAAACTGTAAAATCAAATAAATATAACGTCTTTAAATGCTATTAAATATTTTATGATTATTTAAAGTTACAGATATTTTATTTTTACATTAGACATGTAAATTCAGGAGTTATTTTTGTTTTGTTAGCTAATTTTTAATTGTATGAATATTTTAATTTTATTCATATTTTAATTTTATTTTAAAAATACAGATAAAAACCTGTAAAATAAACATGAAAAGCCCCGTAAATGTACAGATTGTGTTACAGTGTATGGTTGGATTACACTTTATATTATTATATATTCAATCTGAAAGAACTCGGATCAGGATCAGGATCAAACAGGAACTAATCCAGTTCAGAGTGTTGGAGGAATAATACTTTATTAATTAGTAGACAGATTATATATATATATCAAATATTGACTTCATACAAACATAAATAGATACATAAACATACAAACATCCTCATATGAACAAACTTGGCACTGCAGACTTTTCCCAGTGAGTCAGACACTGTCGCTTTCCAATCAGAGACACTTTAAATAATATATAATATCTCCTCGTCCAAACTATTCACTCCTCTTTTATTTCTCTCCGTGATTCTCAGTGATTTTAGAAAATCTAAATAAAAATACAATAATAATCATAATATGATTACTAATATGAATCAGGCCAGATGTACAAAGATTCCTCAGCTCGGTTAGTTAAAGTTAAAATAAAGTTGTTAAATCAGGAGCTGGGATTCGGTCGTTTACCATAAACACGACACGACGTTTTTTATAACAAACAATCTTGTTACATTAGTTTTTAGATGCAGATATTTATTTATTTCCTTCATTTTCCCTTAAAAAACGGGCGAATGTGGCGTCTCTCAGACGGGCGGAGCTAGAGGGGCTGCACGGAGGAATATAAATATACTTAATTAATCGCAAACAATCAAATATATTAATTAATATTTGTTTGGAAAAACACCCAAATTAAGATATTTCAACTAAAAAAACATTATTGTGGCACATTAGTAAAGGCTTGAGTAGAAATATTTTAAGGTGGAATTAATTAGAAATCAATAAATAGGTTTTATTTTTATTAATGCCAAAATTTAACACATTAATTTAGAAAATAACATGTTAAAAAAACGAATTAATCGGCTTAAATTCAGTGGAAAATGTCTCAAGAATCCGTAAATAAAACAATTTATTGATTTTTAATTGCACCTTTAGATATTTCTACCTTTAAAGTCTGAAAACTAATGAGTGTGTAACTCCTGTGAGGCTCCATATTGGTGTTTATTCTTTATATTGGAATGCAGCCTTTTACAGTCTAAATGGAATGCGTCCTTTTACCACCAATAAAGGTTAAAGGTTGACAAATTAACTCTTTATATTGGACTCAAGCCTTTTCAATCTCAACAGTGTCTGTGCTTCATGTTGGAATGTGTCCCTCAGATTTCTCCTGTTATCTCCAGTTCGGCCGGGAGGACTTGCCCGAGTCCCTCGAGTGAGACGACTTGTCGGAGAAGGAGCCGCTGTCGTTCCGCCGGTGGCCTTTAGAGGGAGCCAGCGAGACGTGGGGAGGCGCCCTGATGCTCTGAGACCTCGTCAGCGCGGAGGAGGAAGAGGAGGAGGAGAAGGAGGAAGGGTTGATGAGATCCGAGGGTCTGAAGGTGACGGGGAATCTCAAGGAGCCTGTTCGCTTCAGAGGGGAGGAGGTGGTGGGTGGGGCGACGGGGGAGGAAGAGGAGGTGGTGGTTTTGGGGGAGGAGTCTGAGCCAGTGTGGGGTGAATGTGGAGGAGGAGGAGGAGGAGCGAGGGTGGCGCGGGTTCGTCTGAACGAAGAGGAGGCGGTGCTTCGGGCGAAGCTCGGAAGCAGCGATGATGAAGGAGTAGCGGCTTTGTGCAGAGGAGTAACAGGAGCACTGACGCTGCCTCCTCCTCCTCCTCCTCCTTGAGTGAGCGCTCGCAGCGTGGAGCGACACATCTTCTCCTCCGGTTGGACTTTGGGTTTTGTTAAAGGCTTCCGGATGGACGGCTTCCTGTGCAAGTCCTGGTTCTGCTCTCGTGCCGAAGGACCCGAAACCTTCTGGTCCTTCGAGTCCTTGTTGATGCTCGAGCGTCGGGACGAAGGAGCGGTGGACGGTCGCTCTCCTCGTCGGAGGGAGGTACTGTTGTGGCTGGAGACCGTCAGACCAACAGGTACCGCGGTGCCGGATGAGTCTCGTCGGTTTCCGCGAGGAGCCTTTTCAGGATGTTTGCCCAGAGACGGAGCACTTCGGCTGGGTCTGGAGATCGGCACTACCCGCCTCATGCCCTGGTTCTCGGAGCGGTTGAGGGTGCGGACGGGTTTGCCTTTGTTGGAGGAGGCGGGTTTCATCTCAGCGGGTCGGGGTTTAGAGGTAAGGAGGTTCTTGGTGGAGGTTTTGGTCGAAGCTACCGGTTCGGCTTTATCATTAGTGGAAGGTTCTGTCTTGTTTCGGCTCCCCGTCGACTGTTCTCTCTCCTCATTGGTCAAACCCTCCACTTCCTCCTCCTGATTGGCTGCATCTTCCTCAGAGGCACCTGCGGTGATTCTAGGCCCTTCGTTGGTTGACGTAGGCTCCGCTGGGCGCCACCTCGGGGACGAGGCGGGATGCGACGGGTCGTCACAGCGGGAGACAGGCACCGGTTGGCTGCTGATGGGTACAGGCACTGGCTTCTCATTGGCCGGCTGAGGTTCTGAAGGCGTGCGATTGGTTGGTGAGGAGGAAGCTTGCTTACTTCCTCCCTGATTGTCACTTCTACTCTGGTCCTTCTCAGTTTGTGCGTGCGCGTCGTCAGAGTGTGCGAGCTCGCCGGCTGCCTCGCACACGCCCGTCACGCACCATACGACCACCTTTTCCTCTCCTCCCTCCTCTTCCTCTTCCTGCGATGAGGACGTGTTTGTCTGAGGGATTTGTGCATCAGGTTCTTCTGCGTTCTTCTGGACTTCATCAGCTTCTTCCTCTTCTTCCCAAATCGATGATTGATATATCATCTCCACGATGGCGCCCGGTGCGATGGCGTTCTTCGCCGTGGCCGGTCACCTTGTCGAACACCTTCAGCTCAGGCACCAGAGTACATTTCTCTAAAACCACCGTCATGTTTCCTGTCGCAGCGGCGCCGCGTTCAAACGTCTCGTCACTGCGGTCGATCGATCCTCTAGAATCCTGATCGGCTTTGTTCGTTCTAGTTTGTTCCCCGCTCAAACCAGAGTGGCGTTCGGAAAACGTTCCCCGGCCAGTAAAACCCAGTCCGAGTCGATCTTTGCCGTTGTTGTTGTGGTCGGACTGCTGGTTCGCGTCAGAGGTAGGTGCGACTGTAACTTCATTTATCGGGTTGATGGCGGTTAATCCAATCTGGGTTGCATCATAGCTGAGGTAAGTGGCGGTTGTATGGTTCGCGGAGGACGAGCGGGTTCGCGGCGCCGTCTGTCCCGCTTGAGGCTGCTGGTTTTGGGGGAAGCTGCACGTTGTGGCCCTTGGACTTTGCGGGGACAGTCCCGGACTTCTACGCCCGTATTCGTGTGCCGACAGTGGGGCGTCTTTGTGGTCGTGGGTCGCCATTCCCAGGAGTGCACTCAGCTCACGCTCAGCAGCAAAGGACGCCGAGCAGGATGGAGAGTTACGGGAGCGCCGTAAGCTCCCCGAGCGTCCCAGAGGATTGTTGTTTAGCGGCGATCGGGGTCGAGGCTTCGGGGACAGAAGCTCCACCAGCAGCCCGGCCTCGTCGTGTCGTGACATTGCAGCAGACATGTCCGCCTCGCTGCTGCAGCGCAAACTGAAAGCTCCGCCCACCTAGAACAGAGTCACACAGTTTAAGTCTTTACTGGTCGAGGAGTTTGTGTGTGTTTGTGGTTGAAGGTGAGTCCTCCTACCTTCTCTCCTCCGGCCCACGAGTGCCTCTTCTGCTCCTCCAGCTCCTGTAACCGCCGGCGTCGGGCGGCGTCCTTCGCCTCTCGCTCCATGTTCTCCTTCAGACAGGAAACACACATTGTTAACTGTTATTTCTGTGTTTGAACAGCAGGTGGCAGCAAAGGTCAGCTGTGTTCAGTTCAATATATCCTTTATATCTCCACTCAACTACATTTATCTGACAGTTGTTGTCGCTACTTTTACTTTACATGCAAAACATAATGAGAAACTTTAAATATCATCAAACATTTCATGATTTCAGTGTCTCATATTTGACGATTTGTCTCTTTTCCTCGTCTTAAATTACAGTAAACTGAATAATTTTAAGGTTTAGACTGTTGGTCAAAACAAAACAAGACATTTAAAGTATAATTGTGACTGTATTTCTCACTTTTATTTTACATTTTATCACTAGTTGCAGCCCAAATAAAACAGTCAAAAATTACCTCCTGCTTAAACATTAATGCATAATATAATAAACACTATATATAATATAGAATGGTATATATATATGTATATCATAAGAAATAAGTGTGGACAAAAGCGGTACTGTTACTGCCTCCTTTCATTGATTTCAAGGGGAACATTAAGAATAACTGTACAGAAACAGCCGATATTCTCTCTGATGGTCCAGTTTAGCTCATATAGAGACATTAGTATTTATTTTGGATGGTTAAAAAACTCCTTGTCATCGGATTTGAATACTTCCTCTGCCAGTTTCTACTGTTTGCTGCTGTTTATGTTTATAACTGTGTGGATCTGTGTGTGCGTACCTTGACGGCAGCGGTGAACCTGGAGCAGAAGGTGTGAAAGATGCTGAAACAGTCGTCCAGTCTGAACGTTTCTCGGTCTTCGCAGAAGAAGTCGATCAGCTCGCTGCCCTCCTGCTTCAGCTGCTGCCGACTGCCGCGCAGCGAGCACAGGGACGAGGTCGCCGACTGAGACACAAACAAACACAGAAAACATGCACGTTAGCAACAAAAACACAAAGAAACAATGTTGGACGCAGCCAAACTAGTTTCCCCTCATTTTATTAAGCTAACTGACTATAGCTTCATATTTATCTATTACTTGTTTTTTCAGAGTTATTAGTGAAGTATCTGAATACTTCCTCTACCACAGGTGTGTGTTTTACCTGCAGGAAGTCGTCCAGTTGCTGCAGCAGCTCCGTGTCTCTCTGGACGTTCTCCTCTACTGAGCGCGTGCGAGTCGTCAGCCACTGTAGTTCAGCGTCCAGCGTTTCCACGGAGATCCTAAAATATAAATATATATATATAAAATGTATAAATATCAATAGATATTTTTCTGTTGCTGTTATTATTGTTATTAAAATGAGGAAATTGTGGATTTTTAAGTGGAGAATTAAAGTGTTTAATATGTGAACAAGATGTCTGACCGGGCTGCAGGTTGGACGTGACTCAACTTCAGAGGAAACTCCAACAGATTGACGTCTTTTTTCTGGGCTTCCTGCAGCAAAAAGAAGAATTACTCATTTTTTTATCCACTGATTAATATTTATTTCCATGTTTTGTTTATTGTTTGTGCATTGATTCATCCCCGAACCTATTCTAACCCTTAACCCAGGTCTTAACCCTTAAACAGCTCTCAAACTGTCCTCTCTCTGAAGATCTAAACTCTAATTGGTCCTCACAAAGACAGCAAACACACAAGGAATATAAAGATATACTGTGAGGTGAATCAGGATGCAAATATGTGAAGATTTAAATCAGATTGGATGAAAAATGAATTGTGATACTGTTTTTAGAACAGCAGAGGGCGCCATCTACTTTTAATTTTTGCTTGTTGGACATCACTGGTTCCCAACCTGAGAGTCAGGACCAAAGCTTCATGGGGGGGGTTGCGAGGCCTTCTTGAGTTTAAGGGATGAAAATTGTTTAAAAGAACAATGGCCGAGCGTCAGAGAGAAGAAAAATAAGCTTATTAAGTTTGTATGATTGTTCAAAAATATAAAAAAATACATAAAACAGAGAATTGTATAAAAAGTTCCTTAAAACAGGAAATAATCTCCTTAAAATTCATCCAAACGTCACCAAAATACACAAAGTTCCTGCAGTTACTGAGTTCACTATTTGGGTTCATTGTACAGTTTTTAATATTATATTAAATATCTATAAAATATGTGAATGAGTCAGTTTAATGAATGATAGAAAAAGGGTCTCTTAAGGGGGAAAGGTTGGGAACTATTTTGATGTTTATACGTCAGAAATAAAAGAATTTAAATATATTTTTAGGTTTTTGTCTGGGAAATAAATCTTTATTTAGTCATAATGACACACACACACACACACACACACACACACACACACACACACACACACACACACACACACACACACACACACACACACACACACTCAGGTTTACTGACCAGAGCCACGAAGTGCAGCAGGTTCATTCCCGGTTTGTTGGCTTTGGTGTCGGCCAGAGAGAGAAGAGACGAAAGCTTGAAGCCGACAGCGTTTCCTGCGTACCCTCCCTGAAATACACACAAACACCAAATACACACAAACACACGGAGATCAGACACAAACACAAACCTCCACAAGAGTCTCGACTTATTAAGTTACGTCGTACTTTATCCGAGTGCTTCGGTTTTCATTAGGAACGGCTCGATGTGCCGATATTGATCTGATATCCTCTCGTTAACAACCAGTTAATAATACAGATAATAAAACATTGGAGGCACTTTGATCCACAGACGCCTATAAAACATCAAATATTTCAGTTTTATTTCAACAGCAACACTCAAAATGATATAATGAATAATTAATTGCACTCGGATCCTTTTTTTCTTCCCTGAGATTAAAATTAGAGCTACTTCTTCCTTAAGGGGCTCTTCTCCTACGACCCCCGACTCAGTGATCAACAGTATTTAATGGATATTTCAAATTATAACAGCAAGAAGTTTGTGTAAAACGAGGGATTTTAATGCATTTTGAGCAGATTATTTCCTGTTTATGGAACTTTTTTGTCCGTATTATGTGTTTTTTTAATGTTTTTTAACAACCATACAGACTTAAAAGGCTTCTTTTCGGACGAATTCACAGTTTTCTTCTCATTATTCTATCAACTCTTTGGTTATTTAAACTTTTATAACGGCTACCTAATTACTTTACTTTACAGAAATGGCGTACTGTCTATCATTTTAAAGTTTTCTTAAACCCCTTCAAAGTTAAGAAGCCCCGACCAAGCTTTGGCGACCCCTAGTGGAGGTTGTTTGTCAGGCGTTCACTCACAAAGACGAATAAATAATGTAACTACTAATAATGTACAGTTCATTATAGCCAAGAATCAGTGCGTTCCTTCTTAAAACTGTCTAAAGACATGAAGACTATTTCCAGAAGATATAAAGGATATAAATGAGCTGAACTCTGTTTCTGTCTCTAATTATTCATTGGTACAGTTTCTTTTGTCTTCACTCACAGCGTTCAGGATGTTTCCCGCCTGCAGCACGAGGTGGAGAACAGCGTGAAGCTCCTCACAGCACATTAACTCTGGAGGAGACAGAGGAGGCGTCTTTATTCGCATCAGAGGAAACACAAACAAACAAACAGACATACAAACAAACTAAAACATCACCTGCTTAAAGAAAGAGAAAGTAGAAATCCTCTTTATACCCGCAGCGGAAGAGATAACCAGGAGTTTATAATCCTGTGTGTGTGTGTGTGTGTGTGTGTGTGTGTGTGTGTGTGTGTGTGTGTGTGTGTGTGTGTGTGTTAGCCTGCAAACGGTTCGTTAACACACACACTGCTATAAATAGTCCAGGTGTTGTTTCGCATTGTGTGAGAGTGTGAGAGTGTTTTACTGCTGATGTCTCACTCTGCCTCTGTTAATTGAACCAAACGTGAAGATAAAACAAACAATAAAAGGAGAAAAGACGCTTTTAAAGTATAAATCTGGTTTTCTTTTACTTTTTTATTGTTTAAAAAGATGAAAAAAAAATGAAGAAGTGTTTGTTAAAGTGGAGGCTTCTCAGAAAATAAATCTATTATTACGTATATTATCATAAAATATAATTTAAAATAATATATAACATGTCGCTTATTTGTATGGAAGACTATTTCTGCCCAAAAATACAAACAAATAATCTAATTAAAACTTGATAATAAAAATATCCCCATGGCATAATTATAAGATAAAAAATAATAATAATCACAATATAAAAAAATTATAATTATGACATAAAAAAATCATAATTATTATATAAAAATGTAAAATTATGTTATAAAAAAATCATTATTAGATATTTTTTAATCATAATTATATAGAAAAATCATATATATAAGATAAAAAATAAGAGATTTTAAAAAATATGACATGACAATTATGTATTTGTATTTATCTTTAAAGAAGGACCCGGCCACAAGATAATGTGGATCGGGGCCTTGGTAGGGTTTGGGACCTGCTGACCTACAGCAACAACATCCTCAGTTACAGAGTCAGTAAACTGTAATTAGGAGATTAACACATTAATATGAGCTTTAATAATATTCATTAATAAGCATTAATTAACAGTTAATATGTGCGTCTGAGCTCTGCGAGGTCGTTACCTTTGGTGGCTGTGCGAAGGATCTTAATGTCTCGTCTCATGACCTCACTCGCGGCGGGAAACTCCTCTTTCAACAGCATGGACTCGATACGGACCGAGTAACTGCAGAGAGAGAAATTAATTAATACATTTTTTGGGGGTTTTTTTGCTGCCATTAGTCACTAATGTCTCGCCAAATTAAGAGCACATTTCCCATCAGCCCTTGAGCTTCACGTCCCATCTGCTCTTTGTTCTGGAAGAAGAAGACTTCATTAAGACCCCCCCCCCGTTAGCTTTTATCTGTCATCGCAAGAAAAATCACTTCTTATGAATGAAACTAGAAAAATAAAGACAGGAAGTGAACGATTTAGCACAAATTTCTGATAAAATTTCAAAATAAAATATCAAAAACTTCCATCAGCCTCTGCAGTAAACTGTAGTGTTTGAAAACTTGAGGAATAATCAATTACTACTTAATAAGCACATATATGCTGATATATATTCCTCTAATAGACGATTGCAGATATTGATTGGCTGATAGGTAACAGGAGATTGTTAGTAGAGGATGTTAAAGATAACAATATGTTTAATTTAATTGAGAAACAGCACAAAAAGCTATAAAATGTCCAACTCACTACATATCTCACTAACAAACACAAGTTTATTTAACTGTTAATGTTAAAAAACAGCAAACAAATATTCACCAACAAAACATCAAAAATAACATAAAAAGTCCAACAGATGGTGATGTAGTATTGTCATGGAGGTCAAAGGTCAAAGGTGACGAGCACTGCCTCTCACCTGGGGAGCTGAATCAGCAGGTACACGAAGGAATCGGCCAACGAGAGCTTGGAGACGTCGCCGCGGTACGACTTCAGCTTCTTCACCTTCAGCAGAGGAACAACGTGTGATTACTTTTTACATTAATACGGCTTAAAGATATCTTATATCATATTATCTTATATCTTAAACATCTACAACTGTGAATTAAAGATTTTATTTCCACCAAACCAGAGTTGGTGATTGTTTTAAAATGATTTCTGTCCACTTTGAATGAAGTTCTAATGTTTTAAGCTAAAATGAGTGTTTTTCTCTATGGAGTCTGGTGGAGAGCGACACTGATATTACGGCTGTTTGTGGTTAAACTAAAGGTCTATCTCTGGAGGGATCCTTTCCATAATGCTGTCAGACACTGACAGTAACAACCTGAGTCTGTCAGTGGCACAAACAACTACTGTTAGTGGACAAACTTTACCAAACACGTTTGTCCCCAAGGATTAACGTTAGCTTACGTTGCAGCTACTGCAGCTCTTCATACAAATATTTCCTCATCTAACTCTGTGAATTAAGGATTTATTTCCACCGAACTAGAGTTAAAAGACTATCAAAGACGCTTTTAGTGAGTTTTATTTTGATTCTATCCACTTTAAATGAAGTCACAATGCTTTGATGATACCTGAAGTAAAATTTGTGTTTTTCTCTATGGAGTCTGGTGTGCGTTACCTCCTCTGTCTCTGGCAGCAGCTTCAGCAGCTCTCTCAGAGGCTCCGCCCCGTAAGGCTCGCTGTTGCCACGGCGAATGTCGTCTACTATCGTCTGATTGGCTCTGGAAGCAGGAAGAGACTTTACAATTAATTAATTAACAGGAGAGAAATTACTCACCAACAGCAGTAAAGTCAAATAATTTGATAATCAGTTAATAGTTTTATAAATTTATGAAGCTTAAATGTGTTTTATGTCATTTTAAACTGTATTTCTTTATGTTTTTGACTGTATACATTAATAATAAAGACATTTTATAGGTTAAAGGACTGATTAAATCCTGTATAAAGGATCTCTGAGCTGTTAATGATCCTAATTTGCATTCTGCGACAGAAAAAACTGTGAATGTGTTTTTTCTGCTGATGAGAAAGTGAAACGTGAAGAGAAATAAAGGACGGTTGAGTTCACTGAGTCAAGAGTTTTGCTGCAGCTCGTTGACGCTCTGGGGGGGGGTTATGTCCCGTCTGCTGCCTCCCAGAGGGGTGGAAGTGGATATATGGAGTTTAAACTTCACTTTTATTGTTTAACACTGAGTTTGTTTAACGTAAGTCTCCTTTGAACGTCGTCTTCTTACCGTTAATTAATTTTACACCACTATTATTATTATGTAAACCACAACAACCATATAAATATAAAAGCACTATATATAAATATATAGTATATATATATATATATATATATATATATATATATATATGTCCCCACCCGTCTGCGCCCTTGGATGGAGGGCACAAACCCATCACCTGGTCATATGACCTGGTCAGCTCCAGGTTTGTATGCAGGTTCCCTCCTCCAGATGAATGTTTCTCCTTCAGAGAGACCTCTCTCTCTCTCTCTCTCTCTCTCTCTCTCTCTCTCTCTCTCTCTCTCTCTCTCTCTCTCTCTCTCTGTGTGTGTCTCCCTCATGCCTGTATGTCTCTCAGAGTGTTTGGAAAGCACTCAGTCTGAACATACTGATGCGGTCAATACAACATAAACACATTCAGGACACTTGCTGACAGTCTTCAGTGTTACTCAATCAAACCTCTGAGTATTCAGAATCAGTGATGAAGCACAAACCCACCGACTGTAAAACTACAATATAAAGACGGATAAAGACGGATTACGTTCTCGTGTGAAATACGGCAGCAATGTGAAGGTCACAGCGCCATTAGATCTGATTTCTGCTTCTTTTTAAAGTCATAAATTCAAAACAATTTTAATAGCAAATGTTCAAACAACATAAACACATCATCTCTTCAGAGAAGTACCGTTGTGACAGATTATAGAACATCTTCTGTAGTTGTTTTTTGTCTTTTTGTAGTTGTTTTGTGTCTCTATGTTTTTTTGTCTCTTTGTAGTTGTTTTGTGTTTCTTTGTGGTTGTTTTGTGTTTCTTTGTGGTTGTTTGATGTCTCTTTGCGGCCCCTCAGTGGCATCATGCCTGTTTAAACCAGTTTTTTTAATTTTATTATATTATTATTATTTTTTACAATATGTAGTCATAATCATTTTATATTCAGGCTCAGTTTTATAAGGGTGTAAAAACCTTATATATATACATTATTATCATTATTATCATTAATATATACTGTATAAAGTCTTTAATTATATTTGTTATTAAGAGCCTGTTCAGTAATCCATCAACTCCTCTGATGTGACTTGGAGCCAATCACATGTCAGGAGTGTCTCTGCCAGCATCACCATATTCTGTTTACCCATAACACCCCTGGATGAGGGCGAGAACTCACATCACGCCATCACACACACACACACCACACACGCCAACGCCAACACCATCTCTGTTACCCGGGTCACAGAGGAGATATTCGGGTCTACTGACGGCGTGTTCAGCCCATCACCAGGTAAACAGAGACAGAGCGCACTTAAGTCCCGCCCACACAGAATTCATCACCACTGAGTTTGTATTGCGTGAAGGAGTCTCCTTAACACGGAGAGAATAACTGTCTGTTTCTATTCAGTTATTCTTAATGTCAGATTCACCTTCAGATCAATGAAACTTGGAGGTGGAAACACGACCTCTTCGGTCCACAGGGGGCGCCACAATCAACACAAGTTCCATGTAGGAGCTTTAAGTAGAATATTTAATGCTCGACTTTTATATTTTTATATTTTTATAGTGTGATATTGGTACTTTAGTAAAGTATAAAGCAATTGGCACCAATAATTGATAATTGATTACTGATTTTGGGTCATTTTAAGTATTTTATTCAGGTTTATTGTGCCTGCGTCAGCGTTGTGGTTGTCTGCCAGAAGCTCTCATACATTGACTGTTGATCCAGTCTGAAGCCACATTGTTACCATCCACTGTTTAGATCTTGGTGCTTTTTAACTCTAGATTTGAACCGGATGAAGGATTTTAGTGATCTGACGTCTGGATCTTAAGTTATCAGAGAAACAAGCTGAGCTAACGTTAGCAGCAGCTCGGCTCGCAGCCCCTCCGGGACGTCCTCTGTCTGTCCAACAGCGTGGGAGAAGCAGTGATTGTTAAGGTGGAACTGCTTTATTCAGTGTGTTTAAGGTGGAACTGCTTTATTCAGTGTGTTTAGTGGTTTTAATCAGCGGGTCTGTTTGTGTTGGAGAGGAGGAGACCTCTGTGGATCATTGGGCTCCCGGTAGAAACCTCCTGAACCATGAACACTGAAGGAATCCTAACCGGGAGAAGCTGAATGAGTTTTCAGTCTGTATTCAGACACAAAGTGAGATTTTTACCTCTTGAACTGTTTAAGGAAAATCCCAATGTTCATCCCTCGCTTAGCGTCTAGAATGGAGACCTGGTAGAGAGACAGAGAGAGAGAGAGAGAGAGAGAGAGAGAGAGGTGGAGGTGAGGCAGGTGTCAGTTTGAGGTCAGTGCTCAGGTGGAAACTGTCCACACACACCTTCAACAAACAGCAGCACACGCCACCCTGCATCACTCACCACACACACACACACACACACACACACACACACACACCTCCTCTTTGGTCTCTCTGAAGGAGCTCCTGGTCTTCCCGCCCCTCGTGGCCACGGAGGACTTGGCGTTTGATTGACAGTCGTTCTGACCAAACAGCTCCTCAATGGTCCGGACGTCGATCTCATACTGCTGCTGCACCCGGCGCTGAGTCCACAGGTTGGCCCGCCCCTTCACCTGCGACGCCACACACACACACACACACACACACACACACACACACACACACACACACACACACACACGTATGTAAATACAATCCTTTAATATAATAAAACTCTGACTCCGTTACGTTGAGCTGTGACTCTACCTGATCCTCTGGTATCGTCTTCCAAAAGAAACTCCTCACCCTCTTCTTCTTCTTCAGGCCTCCTACAGGGTCTCCTAGCCCTGGAAGCAGGGGCGGCATGGGAGGAGGAGGAGGAGGAGGCGGAGGAGGTGGAGGAGGAGGAGGAGGAGGAGGAGTGGAAGCAGGGGGGAGCTGTTTCATCCGGTTGCCGTCGATGTCAGAAAATCCCGATGGAGGACGAGGAGGAGACGTCGGCGCGGCGACGGCCACGCCCTCCACCTGGACGGAGAAAGCCTCCCTGTCATTGGCCGGGGAGACGCTGCCCATCACGTGCATCCCAGCGGCGGACTGGACGGGAGGTGGAGGGTTTGGCGGTGGCGGACTGGTCGGTCACCGGGTCGACGGGTGACCATGGCGAGGCGTGTGGCGACGATGATTTAGATGGGTCATCGCTTTAGGGACATCGGAGGTCGTTGAAGGGTCAGAGGTCAGGAGAACAGACAGCTGGAGAGAGAGACAGGAGTTTGATATCACTCTCATGGCTGTATGTTAAATAAGAAGCCGAGCTGTCTCCTCAGAATTGGTTGGGTCGTGTGCCAAGAGACTGGGACCAGTCTGACCACCAACGAGGATGCACCGAGTCTAAACCACGGTTGCCTCCCATCACATAGTCCACCAATCACATTGCTTAATGTAAAACAGATATAACCTCTTGTAACCTTTGGTCACGACTCTTTTGGGGAGAGAAAAGTCAGTAAGAGCACTCCGCTGACTGTGGCTTCTCAATCCAACAAGAAGTATTATTTTAATTATACAATTCTAAATAAACTTCTTAACTGAGAGAAGTTGTTTGTCTTATGTCCTAAAGATCATTTTGATACACGACAGTAACTAGATAGTTAGATAAATCATTTAAGCTGTTAGATAAATGAGGTGGAGGAGTAGAAAGTGGTAAAGTACAAGTAGTAACTTTACTTAAATGTACTTAATTACTTCCCAACACTGAACTTGAGCTTCTGCAGAAACAAAAACACCAAAATAAAATCCAATAAAAGTATTTGTGTCTTCTGACCTTTAACCTGCAGATTGTGACCTGGTTTTAATTGTGCTGCGCTTTTCTCAAACATTTAAATTTTTAGTTTAATAAATAATATATTAAACATTTGATCATTTGATTTGATATTAACACACAATTTGATCGAACGACTCGGAAAAATCCAGCTGGCACGAGACCTCGTTCCTGTTGTGTAAATGTGTAATTAAATGAACGTTAATTAAACATTAATAACTTTACGTAATGTTAAATATTTATTCTTCTGTCATGAATGTGTGTGTGTGTGTGTGTGTGTGTGTGTGTGTGTGTGTGTGTGTGTGTGTGTGTGTGTGTGTGTGTGTGTGTGTGTGTGTTTGCTGTCGACTCTTTTCTCTACTGAAACCTGATATATTTGTTTTTCTCTGAGCGATCAAACAGCTCCGACCTCTTCATCATCTTCCTCCTCACACACACACATTCATTCACACCTTCTTCCTCAAACAGTCTCACCTGAGCGATCGACTCAGACTCTGCTGTCACTGGATTTCAGGTTTTGAATACATTAAATAAAGCAAAAGGACGGATTTAATGACATTGTGTAATGTTTATCTGTTATTATGGGATACAAAACAGACCCTGAAATAAACCAGAGAAGAACAAACATTAGCTGGAGGGGTGGGAATCTTCTGGCACCTCACGATTCAATTCGATTACGATTCAGAGGTCAACGATTCGATTCCAAACCGATTATCGATGCAACAATTTTTTAATGTACATTTTCATGCGTGATTTTAAAATATATATATATATATATATATATCTGAGTTTGCTAATCACTTCCTACTACTTTTGTGATATTCATTAAAGACAATCAACAGATGAATTACCTTCTCTTTATTTTATTAGAGAAAAAGCTTTTCTTGTCACAAATATGACTTTCTATGAACAATGCAGCTTGGATTTTAACACAATATGGAAGTATGTAAAAATAATGATTCATTTTTCTTTTCTTTCTAATCTTTCTTTTCTATGTCAGTAAAGAAAAAGCTGCTCTTCGTCAATTATAAGAAGTCCTCTGGCTGCCATCAGGAACGCTTTCCCCCCCGACTCTGAGTGGTATCGAGAAATGTGGTTTCGCAGATTGGTTGTATTTCCGAAGTATTTAATTTGACTTCTACACACCTTACACACAGCGTGGGTCTTATCCATCTTCCCATCGACCTCATAGAACCCAAAATGCTGCCATATCGCAGCTTTTAAAGAAGCTGGTGCAGGCCGTATAGGTGTGTCGCAGCCATTTTGTCGCCACTGAACTTTGGATGTGAACAACTCTTACATGTGTTTTGGTGCGCATGCGTGTTGGCGGAGAACCGGCAGACAGAAAGGAGAGTTTTCTGTAGCGCTCTGCAGCACGCAAACTAATTAAATTTTTTTAAATTCCGATTATTAACTTATCTGCATCGAGACGTTCTAGAGAGAATCGCGATGCATCGAAGAACCGATTATTTTTCCCACCACTAATTAGCAGTGAGAGGAGATGAGGCAGAGCATCCGGAGGACGTCAGAGGGAAAACCAGACAATATTCTCTCCATTAAATATGATCCAGTTTCACCCAAATCTCTGATAAAGTTGTGTTTGTACAGTAATCAGTGAGCTCCAGTAGCTAGCCCTGCTGTTAGTTAATGCTCTCAGTCACAATAACAAGAACATCTACCGTCACGTTTCTACCAATAACTACTCTAATGCTGCAGAAAACCACCCCCCAAACAAAAATATAAAATTAATATCAAACTAAATCGCTAATTATTGACACACGGAAGTTCTGGATAACAAGAACATCGCTCGTCAAACCCCAACTTTAATCATACTAAAGTGTGTGTGTGTGAGTGTGTGTGTGTGTGTGTGTGAGTGTGTGTGTGTGTGTGTGTGTGTGTGTGTGTGTGTGTGTGTGTGTGTGTGGGGGGGTGGTGGTTTTTTTTTATTTTGTTCCATTTGTCTTTTTTATTTTGGTCTGGTTATTTATTTTTGATCACATCCAAAGTCCATTTAAAAATCTAGTAATTTTATGATGCCTTGCTCGTGGGCAGAAGTAAGTGATTGATCGGACGGGTTTGAACACTCATTTTAAATTTCGTGGGCTTGGGAATTCGAATTTATTAGAAAAAAAGTTAAAAAATTTTAGTTTTAATAATTTTTTAAGGGCTTTATGGATCTGGTTCTAATTCTGTTCTTTTAATTAAAGTCATCATCAAAAACATATAAGAAATATATACATTAGTTTAATTTGAATTCTTACAAATATTTAGTTTATTTACTGTATAAAGTTTTATTTGTTTGTCCGGGTTTTTCTTAAAGGGAACATAATCGCTTACAGTCGATTGACAGAAATTTTAACATGGCATCAATTTTAAGTAATTTTTTAAGGACAAAAAGCTAAAATTTATTAATGTGAATATTTTCTGTTTGTCTGAGTCGTTGTTGATATAAAAATGGATATCTTTGGGTTTTTGGACTGTTGGTCATTTGAAGACTCTTGCGACGCCATTTTTCACAATTTATTTTAGAAAGAAACAAACAACGAAATCAACTGATTGAGAAATATAGCGGTAGATTAATTGATGATGAAAATGTGAATAAAAGGTAGTATTTATACATGATCAATAAAATAAAAACATGTTACAACAGAAAAATATTGCTTAGGTCCAGATTGAGCTTTCTCAAAAAGATCTACTTTACTTTTTAAATACTTCTTGTTGCTCCAGGTCATGATAACATCTTTGGTACTAAGCTGTGTGGTGGAATCAGTTCACCAGTTTGTCCATTAAAATAAACATTATTTGTTGACTTTAGTGAGCTGAATTAACTTGAACGCGTTAATACTTCAGCAAACTACCTGAACTGTTTTTATTAAGTCCTTCTGCATTGGCTAAAAAGACAAGTAAACTCTAAATTAGCAGAATTTTCAATGGAGTTTGGTGCCTCATTCTTTCTCTTGTAGAGAGAATGCAAAGAGATGTGTGTGTGTGTGTGTGTGTGTGTGTGTGTGTGTGTGTGTGTGTGTGTGTGTGTGTGTGTGTGTGTGTCTGTGTCAGATGCCATGCGCTACCGTGGCAACCGGTCAGAGTGCTACCGATCGTCGTGGTAACAGAACGGGTTACAAACAATGACAGTTTGTTTACTTGGCAGACAACAAAATCGGGGTCACAGTGTGTGTGTGTGTGTGTGTGTGTGTGTGTGTGTGTGTGTGTGTGTGTGTGTGTGTGTGTGTGTGTGTGTGTGTGTGTGTGTGTGTGTCAGGCTATTAATATTAAACACAATCACTTCCTCCTGAATATTTCCCCCATTTCTCCCCGTCCATGTTGTTTCCTGTTTCATCTTCAAAGGCTCCTTGTAAACAAAAGGTTGAGATGACTCACCCTCTCACCCTCTCTCCTCCCTCCCTCACCCTCTCTCCCTCCCTCACCCTCTCTCCCTCCCTCACCCTCTCTCCCTCCCTCACCCTCTCTCACTCTCTCTTTTAAACTCCAGTGACCGTGACATCACTGACATCATCCAGTCACATGGTTCAGGATGTAAAAATAGACCCGTTAACACAAAGGCTTCTGATTGGTTAACGAGGAGTCAGAGGGTGAACTTTAATCTACTACAACTACAAATACTACTAATACTAATACTATTACTAATACTACTATAACTAATAATACTAAAACTACTAAAACTACTAATACTACTAATACTAAAACTACTAATACAAATACTACTAATACTAATACTATTACTAATACTACTATAACTAATAATACTAAAACTACTAAAACTACTAATACTAATACTATTACTAATACTACTATTACTACTAATACTACTATTACTACTAATACTATTACTAATACTACTATTACTACTAATACTACAAACTATACTATAATACTACTAACTACTACTAATACTACTAATACTACTAATACTACTATTACTAATAATACTACTAATACTACTAATACTATTACTAATACTACTATTATACTACTAATACTACTAATACTACTAATACTACTATTACTAACTACTAATACTACTATTACTACTAATACTATTACTAATAATACTACTAATACTACTACTACTAATACTACTAATACTACTAATACTATTACTAATACTACTATTACTACTACTACTACTACTAATATTATTACTAATACTACTATTACTAATACTACTAATACTAAAACTACTAATACTAAAACTACTAATACTACAACTACTAATACTACTAATACTAAAACTACTAATACTACTATAACTAATAATACTAATATTATTACTAATACTACTATTACTAATAATAATATTACTAATAATACTAATACTACTAATACTATTACTAATAATACTATTACTAATAATACTAATACTACTAATACTATTACTACTAATACTATTACTAATAATACTAAAACTACTAAT